TGCAACCAATGAAGCTGCATGTAAAATTGGAACCTTGCGTACAGATAATGGCGAGAGTATGTATCAAATGACTTTGAAAATCTTCTGAAAAGGAAAGGTATCAAACACGAAACTTCTGTTCCTCACTCTCCACAACAGAATGGAGTGGCTGAGCGCATGAAACCGGACTCTCGTTGAATCGCAAAAGCGATGATGAACATGCCGGACTCAGCAAGACCTTCTGGCAGAAGCAGTCAACACTGCGACTACATAAGGAATCGTGTTATAACCAGCGCATCAGGTCAAACACCGTATGAAAAATGGTATGGAAAACCCCGATGTTCCCACTTTCGTGTGTTCGGCTGCATAGCTTATGCTCATATTCGCAAGGCTGAGCGAAGAAAGTTGGACAAGAAAGCCAACAGACTTCGATTCTTGGGTACAGTGCAAATCAGAAAGGATACGACTTTTTGAAATGCAGAGAGCAAGAGAATAGTGATCAGAAGAGACGTTTACTTCAATGAAAATTATTTTGGATCTCAAAACGTATTTGAAGATGGTCCAAACCAGCAAAGGAAGATAACGACAAACAGAGCCTACGGAAAGGAACACGGAGGCAGAAGAAAGCCATCCTCGACGATCTCAAAGATCCACAAAAGGGGTACCACCACCTCGATTTGGCTTGGATGAGTATGCTGACGTCACAGAAGCAAGACATGTTGTATTCTCAGCAATCATCGAAGAACCAGCTACCATCCAAGAAGCCTTCAATAGTGAATATTCCGCACAGTGGAAAGAAGCAACGGATTCAGAGTATCAGTCACTCATAGAGAACCAAACGTGGGAGTTAGTGAAGCCACCAAAAGACCGAAAGGCTATCGGGTGCAAGTGGGTCTTCAAAGTAAAGTATGACGAAAATGGACAAGTGGAACGTTTCAAAAGTCGTTTAGTAGCAAAAGGGTATTCTCAGAAGTACGGCGTCGATTTTGATGAAACTTTTTCTCCTGTCGTGCGGTTCAGTTCTATTCGAGCCTTACTGGCTTTTGCAGTTCAAAACCGAATGCTGATTCATCAAATGGATGTAACTACGGCATTTCCGAACGGAGATTTAACGGAAGAAATCTATATGGAGCAACCAGAGGGTTACGTGATACATGGAAAAGAGAATCTCGTTTGCAGGCTCAAAAAATCCCTCTATGGACTCAAGCAATCACCACGTTGCTGGAATCGAAAATTTAGAAACGCGCTCGAATCACTAAATTTCAGACAAGGTCAAGCAGATCCGTGTATCTTCGTGAAAGGATCTCTTGAAAGAAACAATTTGACAATTATTGCTGTTTACGTAGATGATTTAATCATCATATCCACTACTCAAGATGAAATGAAACAAATGAAAGTAAACCTGAGAAAGAATTTCAAGATGAAAGATTTGGGCAGCCTTCATTTCTGCCTTGGAGTCAGCGTTGAGCAAAGCGAAGAAGGAGTCAGTCTATCACAGAAGCAGTACATTGAAAAATTACTGAAGCGCTATGGACTTCAAGATGCTAATCCAGTGTGTACACCTCTTGATCCAAATGTTAAACTTGTAGCAGATGATGGAAACAGCAAACCTGTTGATAACGTTCAATATCAGTCTATGATAGGGAGTCTACTCTATGCTGCCATCGCAACAAGGCCTGATATCGCTCAAGCAGTGGGAGCTCTTCCTCAATTCAATTCAGCACCAACAGAAGCGCATCTTACTGCTGTAAAACGGGTATTTCGTTATCTGAAAGGAACAATCAATCTTTCGCTGGTTTACAAGAAATCAGAAAGCAAAGAAGTTACGGGATTTAGTGATGCTAGTTGGGCTGACGATATGCAGAATCGCCACTCAACCACTGGAAATGTCTTCATGATGGCCGGAGGTGCGATTAGCTGGCTTAGTCAAAAACAATAAACAGTGGCTCTTTCAACCGCTGAGGCAGAGTACATTGCCTTGAGTAAAGCTGCCCAAGAGGTCGTATGGCTGAAGCAACTGTTTAGAGAAATAGGAGACAATGTGCAACCTATAACCATCATGGAAGACAACCAAGGAGCAATTTCGATGACAAAAAATCCAGTCGGACATAAACGGACGAAACACATCGACATAAGGTATCATTTTGTTCGAGAACAAGTAGAGAAAGGGACTCTGCTACTAGAATATTGCAACACGAAAGAAATGCTGGCTGACTTACTTACTAAATCACTGAACAGAGGTCAATTTGAGTACCTACGCTGCAAGCTCGGAATGCAATAAAACCTGAAAAGAAACTGTTGATTGAGTGGGAGTGTTGGGAACGTGCACTCAACAGTTACGTAATTGCTGCGTTTGTAAGTAAACTAATGACCTTCGTAATTAGTAGCTAGTGTAGGACACGTGTTAGAGTAGATTGCTTGCTGCTCTATTGTCAGCTAATTAGAAGCTTCTAGAAAGTTCTAATGATCGCTGAGGTAGAACTTTTTAGCACGCGTCACGTAGAGTTTAGATAGTTGCATGTTTCGCAGTGAACGAGTCGATAGAATCTCAAAACAACATACTCACTCCAGTGGGCAGCACAGCCAGGAAGAGCAATTGGACAAGATGAAGGGTTTCGGAGTGTTTCTTCTTTTTGTGTTGCTTATAGTTGACCATGGGAAGTGTTGGAGAAGAAGAAGAACTCTTGGCGACGTGTCTATGACTGCGAGAAGAGACAGAGCAAATGCTCGAAGGGAAGAATCAAGGAGCACCCGTAAGAAAGCTTGATATGATTTCGTTAGGGTAGCCTTTCAGCAATGCCGAGTTTCAAGGAGCCTTTCACAAAAGCTATTGATTAAAAAAGCACCTTTTAGCACCTTTTTACAGTTGAGTAAGATATTTTGAAGCTGCTCAAGGAAGATGCCTGTTTAAACTAAGCGTTGAAATCAAGGATACAAAAAGTTGAAATCCTTGATGTATGTAGTCTTTCCAATTAATAAGATTCGCTTGCTTAGCACTGATCTAGACCCCGTTTACACTGTCCCGGGACAATTTTGTACCGTTACGGTTCGCCAATGTTTACACTGTCGCGGTTCCAAATTGTTCCGTTTAGCCGTCCCGTTTACACTGTACCGGTACGACCTTAATTAAATGGTAGAACAATGTTTAGAAGAATCTGTATTTAGTCAACCGAGGCTTTTATTTTGCTGCCGAAGTCAACAATCTAAAATTTATTGAGAGCTAAAATGGAGCGGCAGGCCGATAAAAACTTTACTTGGATCGACGACAAGGTGGCTTTAATTGTCAGTGTTATTTCAGACAACAAAACTGCAAAGTCCAATGGAGGCTTGGACTGGGAAACAATACAAGTCTTTTCTGTGGTCGTCTTTTCTTCAGAATGTCCTTTTCTTCAAAATTTGATAACGTAGATGCGCCACAATCAAATCCTCGATTACCTGAAACAGACCTCTTTGTGAATCCGTGAGAATATCGTCTCGGATAGGTGTTTACACTGTCCCGTTCAAAAATGGAACCGTGACGGTACAAAATTCATTCGCTTTCAAAGCAGGGTCAAAAACTGTTCCGGATTGCAGAGCAAAATTGTCTCCGTTCCACAGTGCGAGTGTAAACGGAAGGGCGAACCGTGACAGTTTTGTCACGGTTCCAAACTTGCACGGGACAGTGTAAACGGGGTCCTCATCAACACTTCTGCGATGTTAGTTATATAGTATTTACAATATTCTAGAAAGTTCTTAGATGGTATAAACTAGAGGGGCAAGAAACATTCGGTTACAATACTTACACTACAAATAGTATTCAAAAGATATATTGCTCGTTACTAGAATGTTCTAGAGTGTATGTTTCAAGGAAGTTCATTAGATATATGTTCAAGATTGGTCTGAAAGTTATCGGACCAGTCAGAGTGCCACATTTCAATACATGGAAAGTAGGTGTTCACTGGTCAGTATATTACAAGAAGCTAATGCGCAACTTGGTGTTTCATGTCCTTGGCCAACTTATCAATATTTGGCAGAATTGCTGATATTGACAGCGACATGTTGCCTTCAAGGTGCTGATCAGTCATTCGAGAGATCGCAGTCGACTCTTCGCATATTTCATCTTTGAGAAGACAAGATAAGTGCTTCTAAACATGAAGCACATCTTCTTTGCATTATGTACCAAACATGGATATGAATCATCGTCCCGGAGACTCTTTATAGAGGCTGGATGACCTCAGTTTTCTTGTATTTTAGTTTCAACTCACTGGTACCCTGCAGCTCGATCAACTCCATTTGAAGATTTTCAGAGGCAACTATCAGAGGCACTAGAATTTCCAATCGTTCATCGACAATCATTAAACAATTTTTTACAAACTTAACTAATGCTCAAATCACTGGTGGAAATATTTTGACACATGTATCGATCATTTCCCTCTGGTTCTAATAGTACAAAATGTAAAATCCTCCAAAGATAAAGACGAAATTTTAAAACATGACTATTCATCTTTTAATGGGAGAGATTCTATAAATGATTTAATCGGACTTGATCTGAACTATCTTAACTCTGTCTCTGATATTGATAAGGTTTATGTTCGATTTCTCAATGACGTTACTTTACTTGCCGAGAAGCATGTTCCTATTAGAAAGTGCATTAGAAAGAATCAAAACTTATGGAAAACCTTGGATCAACAAGAGATTGCAAAAAATGATGAAAATTCGCGATCGACTTCTAAGGAAGTTAAAAAAACATAGTTCAGAGAACAATGCAAAACTTTATAAAAAATTTCGAAATCGCGTAGCAAGTGAACTGAAGAAAGTCTTCTAGAAACTATTTGAAAGTCAGTGAGCTTTGCAAAATTTCTTGTTATCCGTAAAGTGGTTTAATTTAATTCAACGAGACACTTTTATAGATGAACATATAGATCGCTGAAAAAAAGGGGGGACCTTCATCTCGATAGTTAACCTACTTTGCAGGCTCCTCCTTAAGAATTCTGCATCAATTTGTCTTTTAAATAATGCTATTGTTATTGTTGCGTTCTTTAGTTGATTTGTTTATAATTTATATAACTAACTAGTATTTTTCGAAATGTGGTAGAATTTGAATGAAATCAAAATAAAATCAAAGAATCAAATCAAATCAGAGTAGTTAAGTTAGCTAACACTCCTGGAAAATTAACGATATCTCCTGGTTTTATCTCAAACGCTTAATAATCTGCTAGAATGCTGCAATGGTCGTGAGTATAAGACATCTGCAGTCGCCATCTCGAATTCAATGTTTGGCAGTTCCACAATAGAACGGAAACGATAGGTAGCCAATCAACTACGAGCCATTGTACAGCTCTCTTACAAATATGGGATCATTTCCGAGTTCCAGATGCTGTTTTGACTGAGTTCCATCCGTGTTCCAAACAAAAGTTTATTGTTTCAATTCATTCACGTCCGAGACAAAAAAAAGTTTATTTCCGAATTCTAGGATTGACTGCTGTTGTCCTCCACAGCGTCTGGAAAATCGTTTCCAAATCACGACAAAGAAGAAACTGGCAATTTTAAGATTTTGAAGAGACTCGGAAACTTGGAATTTTTAGGTTTAAATTTTTAATTCAAATATTACTTGTTTCAGGAAACACTATTTTTAGCTGTATGTTGGAAAACTGACTGAGTTCTGTGCACCAAGCAAGGAAATCACTCTGGATCCGCCTCTGCATTCCTGCTCCTAAAATAGAATTTTTTTAAGGAGGTGTCACGACAAGTTGGCCCGACAATGGTGTAGGCCATGTATTGCCACAGCCCATTATGTAGCAACCAGCCTAACCGAAACTTTTGAGGTTCAAGTCATTAAGCCTTGGTAACGTTCTGACAGAATACCGGAATTGTTCGGGAGATGAATCTTGCTCTTCTTCCAGACAAGCACCAGCAACCATTTCGAGGTCATTGCACATGCGCATTATCACTTGAAGCCCTGGCAGGAAGTTCACGAATTGTGTGGTCCCAGACAGAACAGCTGTGCGAATTCTGTTATCAATGCGCATGTGCTATGACCCCGCAAAACTGATTGGTTTAAAACGCTATTGTTTCGAAACAATGGACTGATGGTTTGGTCTCCCGAACAAGGAAGTCACGTTCACGTTACACGCTCTTTCTGATGGCATCATCAGATTTGAAAAATTCGAAAGTTGAAATTTAGCTGACCGTGCATTTTTCATGCTTCAAGAAACGCAACTTCCGGGTAATCACCAGAATTTTTCCAAGGCTTAAAATGGTCAGTGACCTTCCCTTTATAATTTAAACTTCCATCGAGGTTGAAAAAAACAATTTGAGCCGGCCAAATTCTTTTCACTGTGCTAGTTTGTGGCTTTTCTCAATATTTCCTCATAGTAAAATTTAATATATAGTTATTTCGTTTTCCGTCAAATAACATAATGTACAATCATTTCTAGCAGTGTTTATTTGCTCCATACTGAATTCAAAGTTATTGTCAGAAACCACATATACAAGATAAGAATAACTTTTTTGGTGAACATGTTAGCTCCAGATAAGAAAATTGAAGAACGAACAATAACTTTCTGAATATAATTATCAGCAAATCAATACTGCATCTTAAATGGCTTACAAAACAGTGATTTAGTGGTCTTAGGAAGAATTCCTAGTAAGTATATTTGGAACAAACAAGGTAGATAAAACATGTTTATGATGTTACTTGATGTTCTCGTCTATTTCGTTGAGCGAATAATAGCCAAAATTATTTGCCGTAGATTTTATGCTATTGGTATTTTTCATAAACGTTAAGAATGAAAAGCATTTTCACCCCTAAAATGGTTGGATAATTTGAAAAAACAACCCAGGCGTATAAAGGTATCTTAAGATTACGGTGAACGTTTTCTGGATGAAAACATCAATTTTTCGATTTTTTTCACATTCAAATAGCCAATAGGATTTGAGACAGAAATTTTGAAAATAGAAAAAATCCCGAAATTTTCAATGATTCCTATGTCTGGAATTACAGAGAGCTGGCGACTCTCCTCACTCTGAGTTAAGTTTCGTCGTGTCAGGGACTCGAGCCCCAGACCCTTGGTTCTATAGTCTGCAAATCTAAGCAATTAGCCATTCTTGCTCTCAGTTTTCCAATGTACCCTGAAAATGGCAGCTTCTCTGTAACCCCCGGGAGGCACTCCCTACTGGTTCAGTTGAGCCCATGTTATTAAAAGTGGTTCCTTTTCAATAAAAATTCAATAACCAACCTTAAATTTCCCTTTTACAGATGAACAGGTAGAAGATGAATCGCTTGACTAAGATCAAAACTTTGAGGATCCCGAATACTTTCAGAATTCTGAAGGAAGGCGAAGTGATCAAGTCTCATCTTATGAAAATTGAACCACTGGTAAGTTTTAGTTTTTAGTTTATACATCATCTATCTAGACTGTAAATGTTTTCCATCAAGTTCTTTCGGACCCTTATTCTGACGTTTTGTGCTCTAAGGAAAATCAGACGAAAAAGCTCCTTGCCAATATGTTATAAAATGTTTTCAAATTTGTTATTTGCAACTTCAATACAATTTACTGGAATACAATACAATACAATACAATACAATACGATTGATACGATACGATACGATACGATATAATACGATACGATACGATACGATACGATACGATACGATATAATACGATACGATACGATACGATACGATACGATACGATACGATACGATACGATACGATACGATACGATACGATACGATACGATACGATACGATACGATACGATACGATACGATACGATACGATAAGATACAATACGATATCGTACGAACTCCTATAAACGAAACTGCACAACATCAGAAAAAAACAAATTAGGACAATTTGAATTAGTTACAAGAGAATTGATTTACCATCTTTTTCTAATTTTTCAAATATCTTTTCAGATCCCTATAAACAAAATCTTGATGACACGACGAAGCGAGCCTTCAACAGAAGTGAACTTATATCTTCTATTATATTCAATTTCATAGCTTAGCCAATTTTGTCCATTTCTGTATTCGGGTAGGCTTGACTCTCTATAACCATTTGTTGCAAAGATTCATTGGTTTTTTTTCTGATATTTTCTGCAATATGCATAGATCTGTTCCACCGAGAATCAGGATGCAAAAGGGCAAGTAAATAAAAGGGTTTTAAATGGACGATCTTGGTTCTATTGTTTTATTTGATTTGCTATATTCTGTTGGTTTTAATATGAAAAATAGAATGCAAGTTTCCAGTGTTCCAAGTATCTTACATTGTACCGGAAATTGGCATGGTATTGTACAGCAAAATTTGTTTTATTTGCGGGCGAATGCTGGCTGTGATGTGATTGGTTTATAAAACCCGTTTATAGTGCGCCAAGAATTCAAGAGATTGTCACCATGGCAGGGCCCACGCCACGGATTTCAAGGTGGAGGGGCCAAGTGCTATTAATCGAACTTGAAGCTTAGTGCTTCAAAACAGGGCCTCTTTGTAAATATTTTCATTGCAGTTGGAACTAATTTCCTATGGGGGGGGGGGCTGCCCAAACTTTTCTTTCTCATTCAATAAACTGTTATAAAGGAAACATTCTACAGTTTGACAATTATTAGGGGGCTCCAGCCTCCCAGCCCCCCGGTTCCGACGGGCCTGATTTTTGCTTACCAAAAAAGTGGGGGACATGGCCCCTCCATCCCACTCCCCCTGAATGGTATTCTAATATTCAGAGAAGACCTTCAAATTCCGCTCAATGTGTGTAAGAACCGCGTTTTAGCGTGGCATTTCCCAAGGGCCTAGCTCAAATGAATGTCTCGTAGCAAAAAGCAGGTTTATTGCACAGACCTACCTCCATCATAGTTAATAGAATAATTCTTTAAACTATGCTACCATCCTTTGTCCTTTTGTCTCTGTATGTTAGACATATAAAGGACAGCATTTCACCATAGAATTTTACAAACCGCACTCTAGTTTGAAGCAAGAAAAGGCAATTTAGGCAGGATGAAGAGTTTTGTAATGTTCCTGCTTCTCGCCATGCTCATCGTTGACCATGGAGAGTGTTGGAGAAGAAGAAGAAGAAGTGGAACAGAAATAGAAAGATCCAATGGCGAAGCACCTATGACTTTGGAAAGGGACAGAGCAAATGCTCGAAGGGAAGAATCAGCCGATGCACGTGAGTGGATTATTCGAGCAACTTCTTGTCAGACATTTCAAGGAGTTTTTTTACTGTATTAGCGAATTGCAAGTCGCATATGGTCACGAAAAGCTTTCCCACCAGAATGACATTTGGCATATTATGCTGCCGAACCTCTTGTCAGGCATTTCAAAAGGTTTTTTACTGTATTAGCGAATTGCGGATCGCACAGGATCAGAGAGCGCTCTCCCTCCAATATGACATCTACCATAACATGTTGCCTACTGCAGGTTTGTTAAGGAAAGGTCTGAGAGCCTACAGCCAGGGGCGCTGGAAGCATGGGGGCAGTGGGGACAGCTGCCGCCCTGCACTGACTCTACGGAAACAGCGGGGGCAGCACTGTGCCCTTGTTAAAATGGCACTGTGTTTATGCGAATGGAATAGTGAGATAAAATTGCCTTCATTGCGCGGTTGGAAAACATCACTAATGTGCGGTTAGGAACAAAATGAAAGCAATTGGGTGCATTTGTTATGCTATTTCTTTCGACAACACATTCAAAATGGAGGAAATTACTGTAGAATAAGGTGAGTAGCGTAACAGAGGCATCAGGGGTCCTAAGCAAAAACTGAGACGGGGCCCCTTTTAACGGACTCTAGTAGAGCATGTCAAACACTAATGCAATACGCAACACTAATCCACGTTAACTAGTAAAAGCCTCAATTGAAGTAATCTAAAAGCTTTTAAAAATGAGGTGAACTTCTAGCAAAGTCATCAGAATTTATAAGAAAAAAGTTGCCATGCCAATAAAAAAGGAATTTTATGTCACAGGCACTTTAAAAAGCATTCGAGTTGGGTTATTTTTGCGATGTGCGATGCCAAAATCCATTATCTGGATCCCCAATTAAATTACAAGATGACCCAATTTGTACCTTTAATTGTTTTTAGAACACTTTAGCGTCGGAAAGTAGCTTCTAGAACACCGAAAAGCTATGCTTATCGAGCAGTGTCCTGGTCCTTCCTCTTGATGTGACCACACCTTGTGATTCCTACACCTGGAATTACCGAGAGCTGGTGACTCTCCTCACTCTGATTTAAGTTTCGTCGTGTAAGGGACTCGAACCCCAGACCCTTGGTTCTGTAGTCTGCAAATCTAAGCAATTAGCCATTCTTGCTCTCAGTGTTCCAATGTACCCTAAAAATGTCAGCTTCCCTGTAACCCGGGAGGAACCCCCTACTGGTTCAGTTGAGCCCATGTTATTAAAAGTGGTTCCTTTTCAATAAAAATTCAATAACCAACCTTAAATTTCCCTTTTACAGATGAACAGGTAGAAGATGAATCGCTTGACGAAGATCAAAACTTTGAGGATCCCGAATACTTTCAGAATTCTGAAGGAAGGCGAAGTGATAAAGTCTCATCTTATGAAAATTGAACCACTGGTAAGTTTTAGTTTTTAGTTTATATATCATCTATCTAGACTGTAAATGTTTTCCATCAAGTTCTTTCGGACCCTTATTCTGACGTTTTGTGCTCTGAGGAAAATCAGACGAAAAAGCTCCTTGCCAATATGTTATAAAATGTTTGCTTATTTCAAAGCCATTTTCAAATTTGTTATTTGCAACTTCAATACAATTTACTGGAATACAATGCAATACGATACGATACGATACGATACGATACGATACGATGCGATAGAATACAATACGATATGATATAATACAATACAATACGATACGATACGATACGATACGATACGATACGATACGATACGATGCGATGCGATGCGATGCGATGCGATACAATACAATACGATACGATATAATACAATACAATACGATACGATACGATACGATACGATGCGATGCGATGCGATGCGATGCGATGCGATGCGATGCGATGCGATGCGACGCGACGCGACGCGACACGACACGACACGACACGACACGACACGACACGACACGATACGACACGACACGACACGATACGATACGATATCGTACGAACTCCTATAAACGAAACTGCACAACATCAGAAAAAGACAAATTAGGACAATTTGTATTAGTTACAAGAGAATTGATTTACCATCTTTTTCTAATTTTTCAAATATCTTTTCAGATCCCTATAAACAAAATCTTGATGACATGACAAAGCGAGCCTTCAACAAAAGTGAACTTATATCTTCTATTATATTCAATTTCATAGCTTAGCCAATTTTATCCATTTCTGTATTCGGGTATGCTTGACTCTCTATAACCATTTGTTGCAAAGATTCATAGGTTTTTTTTCTGATATTTTCTGCAATATGCATAGATCTGTTCCACCGAGAATCAGGATGCAAAAGGGCAAGTAAATAAAAGGGTTTTAAATGGACGATCTTGGTTCTATTGTTTTATTTGATCTGTTATATTCTGTTGGTTTTAATATGAAAAATAGAATGCAAGTTTCCAGTTTTCCAAGTATCTTACATTGTACCGGAAATTGGCATGGCATTGTACAGCAAAATTTGTTTTATTTGCGGGCGAATGCTGGCTGTGATGTGCTTGGTTTATAAAACCCGTTTATAGTGCGCCAAGAATTCAAGAGATTGTCACCATGGCAGGGCCCACGCCACGGATTTCAAGGTGGAGGGGCCAAGTGCTATTAATCGAACTTGAAGCTTAGTGCTTCAAAACAGGGCCTCTTTGTAAATATTTTCATTGCAGTTGGAACTAATTTCCTATGGGGGGGGGGGCTGCCCAAACTTTTCTTTCTCATTCAATAAACTGTTATAAAGGAAACATTCTACAGTTTGACAATTATTAGGGGGCTCCAGCCTCCCAGCCCCCCGGTTCCGACGGGCCTGATTTTTGCTTACCAAAAAAGTGGGGGACATGGCCCCTCCATCCCACTCCCCCTGAATGGTATTCTAATATTCAGAGAAGACCTTCAAATTCCGCTCAATGTGTGTAAGAATAGCGTTTTAGCGTGGCATTTCCCAAGGGCCTAGCTCAAATGAATGTCTCGTAGCAAAAAGCAGGTTTATTGCACAGACCTACCTCCATCATAGTTAATAGAATAATTCTTTTAACTATGCTACCATCCTTTGTCCTTTTGTCTCTGTATGTTAGACATATAAAGGACAGCATTTCACCATAGAATTTTACAAACCGCACTCTAGTTTGAAGCAAGAAAAGGCAATTTAGGCAGGATGAAGAGTTTTGTAATGTTCCTGCTTCTCTCCATGCTCATCGTTGACCATGGAGAGTGTTGGAGAAGAAGAAGAAGAAGTGGAACAGAAATAGAAAGATCCAATGGCGAAGCACCTATGACTTTGGAAAGGGACAGAGCAAATGCTCGAAGGGAAGAATCAGCCGATGCACGTGAGTGAATTATTCGAGCAACTTCTTGTCAGACATTTCAAGGAGTTTTTTGACTGTATTAGCGAATTGCAAGTCGCATATGGTCACGAAACGCTTTCCCGCCAGATTGCCATTTGGCATATTATGCTGCCGAACCTCTCGTCAGGCATTTCAAAAGGTTTTTTACTGTATTAGCGAATTGCGGATCGCACAGGATCAGAGAGCGCTCTCCCTCCAATATGACATCTACCATAACATGTTGCCTACTGCAGGTTTGTTAAGGAAAGGTCTGAGAGCCTACAACCAGGGGCGCTGGAAGCATGGGGGCAGTGGGGACAGCTGCCGCCCTGCACTGACTCTACGGAAACAGCGGGGGCAGCACAGTGCCCTTGTGAAAATGGCACTGTGTTTATGCGAATGGAATAGTGAGATAAAACTGCCTTCATTGCGCGGTTGGAAAACATCACTAATGTGCGGTTAGGAACAAAATGAAAGCAATTGGGTGCATTTGTTATGCTATTTCTTTCGACAACACATTCAAAATAGAGGAAATTACTGTAGAATAAGGTGAGTAGCGTAACAGAGGCATCAGGGGTCCTAAGCAAAAACTGAGACAGGGCCCCTTTTAACAGACTCTAGTAGAGCATGTCAAACACTAATGTAATACGCAACACTAATCCAAGTTAACTAGTAAAAGCCTCAATTGAAGTAATCTAGAAGCTTTTAAAAATGAGGTGAACTTTTAGCAAAGTCATCAGAATTTATAAGAAAAAAGTTGCCATGCCAATAAAAAAGGCATTTTATGTCATAGGCACTTTAAAAAGCATTCGGGTCGGGTGATTTTTGCGATGTGCGATGCCCAAATCTAATATCCCCAATTAAATTATGAAATGACCCAATTTGTATCTGTGTTTCTACTTAGCATCCGGAAGTAGCTTCTAGAACACCGAAAAGCTATGCTTATCGAGCAGCTTCCTGGTCCTTTTTCTCGATGTGACCACACCTCGTGATTCCTATGCCTAAATTACAGATAGCAAGCGACTCTCCTCGCTCTGAGTAAAGTTTCGTCGTGTAAGGGACTCGATCCCCAGACCTTTAGTTCTGTAGTCTGCAAATCTAAGCAATTAGCCATTCTTGTTTTCAGTGTTCCAATGTACCCTGAAAATGCCAGCTTCCCTGTAACCCGGGAGGACCCCCCCACTGGTTCAGTTGAGCCCATGTTATTAAAAGTGGTTCCTTGTCAATAAAAATTTAATAACCAATCTTAAATTTCCCTTTACAGATGAACAGGTAGACGATGAATCGCTTGACGAACATCAAAACTTTGAGGATCCCGAATACTTTCAGGATTCTGAAGAAAGCCGAAGTGATCAAGTCTCATCTTATGAAAATTAAAGCTTGTAAGTTTTAGTTTTTAGTTTATATATCTTCTATCTAGAGTGTAAATGTTTTCCATCAAGTTCTTTCGGACCCTTATTCTGACATTTTGTGCTCTGAGGAAAATCAGACGAAAAAGCTTCTAGCCAATATGATATAATATGTTTGCTTATTTCAAAGCCATTTTCAAATTTGTTATTTGTAACTTCAAGACAATTTACTGGAATACAATGCAATAAAATACGATCGATACGAAACGATACAATAAGATACGATATGGTACGATATGGTACGATACGATACGATACGATTCGATACGAGACGATACGAGACGATACGAGACGATACGATACGATACGATACGATACGATATGGTACGATACGATACGATACGATACGATACGATACGATATGACACGACACGACACGACACGACATGACACGACACGACACGACACGACACGACACGACACGACACGACACGACACGACACGACACGATACGATACGATACGATACGATACGATACGATACGCTACGATACGATACGATACGATATCGTACGAACTCCTATAAACGAAACTGCACAACATCAGAAAAAGACAAATTAGGACAATTTGAATTAGATACAAGAGAATTGATTTACCATCTTTTTCTAATTTTTCAAATATCTTTTCAGATCCCTATAAACAAAATCTTGATGACATGATGAAACGAGCCTTCAACAAAAGTGAACTTATATCTTCTATTATATTCAATTTCATAGCTTAGCCAATTTTGTCCATTTCTGTATTTGGGTAGGCTTTTCTATTTATAACCAATTTTTGCAAAGACTCGTTGATGTTTTTCAGAATTTTTCCACAAAATGCGTAGATCTGTTTCACCGAGAATCAGGATGCAAAGGGGAAGTAAATAAAGGGGTTTTAAATGGACTATCTTAGTTCTTGACTTATTTTAACTTGATACATTCAATTTGCCACATTCTATTGATTTCGATAGAGTTCTTAAGTGATTACGTCACGTTTCAGAATTTCTTCATTTTGACCACACGTAGGAGCATAAAGGAATACCTCTAAATCAGTTGAAGGACCGAGATTCTGGCGGAACTGTGGGTGGGGGGCCTTTGTATAATTAAAATACTTCTACTTTATAAAATATGGCTGCCGTCTCAGAGCTGCCCCCCCCCCCCCCCTCAAACAAAAATTATCTCGGTCATTGAATCAGTGTTCATTGTGAGCCAAGACCGAATTGCAGAGATTTGATGAAGAAAGGGTCTGTGCTTTTGTGGGGATACCTCAGCCTAAGCGTCACCAATGTCTGCAAAACTGCAAGAAAGTTGGTCATGCAGCCGGGACCTTAGGACTAATTAGGAAGTTTGACCAAACGTCGACTCGTAATTCATTTATTTTGTTGGTCATGGTTAGTCTTACTCTACCTTCTTATCAACTTGCCATAACTAACGGCTATAAGATGCAGTCGATTGAACAATTGAAACTCTTAACTTACTATTGCGCAGGGCCAGCGAAACCAGGAGGGGCTGCCTCTATTTTGCAGAGCAAAATAAAAAGTTTTAGGAAAAGGGAAAAGAAATGTAACCTACCATTCTGCAAATAACTTCGCCTAGTATTTCCTTAAAGATGCCCTTATTTTTAACTTGGTTACTATGTTCTAATCATAGAAGACATATATAAAATCGAACATTAGAATTCGATCGAAGAAAATGCAGTGCTCGTCACATGCCATTTCTAAACACACTACAATAATACTTACATCACTTCATTACACGGAAATTATTTTTCGCTGGTTAATTATCCGTTTCACTGATGATAGGTCTGGATGTTTTCCAATATTTTAATCAATATTACAAACATAATTTTTTTATACTTTCACGCCATTATTTCCCCTAACTTTGTTATTATAAGAGTGTATATGATAATCCATTTCATTTTTAATACATTTTTTAAGGGAAAATAGTTGGTCAAAAGAGGGTAGTTGGTCATATCTTTTCTGAACGACCCCCCCCCCCCAAGCTAAATTGTCTAGGCACATCATTGAATGCAACAAAAAACGAAATTTTCTAAATGCCTTCTGATTTTGCTGTGAAGAGCTTTCTTGAGAAGGAAACTAACTTTGAAATTTGCTATCAAATATAATTTGCTTGAGAAGGAAACTAACTTTGAAATTTGCTATCAAATATAATTTGCTTGAGAAGGAAACTAACTTTGAAATATAGTCAAAGAGACATTCAGCATAAATGATAATGTCAACATTGAAAGTGCGCCTAAAACTTCTTTTGAACACAACAGGCAGTGGAATTCACGTTCTTCGTTGTTTTGTCTCTTTCTTTGGGACATGAAATGGCCAACATTTTGCACCTTTGCCATTCAACCGGTGCCAAGGTAGTGCAATTACACAATGTTTCTTTGCTTTTTTTAAATGAAAACATATACTGCTCATCCGTTGGGACATAAAATTGTCCATCATTTTGCACCGCGCCATTCAGTCGGTTTCAAGGCATTGCAATTACACAAGTCTATTGGGGATGTACCCTGTTGTTTGGCGGTATACTGCTTGTACAATACCTCGTTATTAAAAATACTCTAGAGATTTTTCTGTCAATCAATTTTCATTGTATCTCTCCCGTTGGGACATAAAAATTGTCCAGCGTTTTGCACCGCGTCATTCAGTCGGTTTCAAGGAAAAAGTCTATTGGGGATGTACCCTGTTGTTTGGCGATATACGGCCTGTACAATACCTCGTTAAGAAAAATGCCCCAGTTAGCCTTCTCTCAATCAATTCTCGCTCTATCTTTATTGTTTTTCATTTGCGACAAATAAAATAAAGCTTAATCGCTTGGTGGCAGGCAAACTTAATCGCCATTGGCAGTTCATTCTGTAGCAAGGTCTTAACAACATGAAGAGGTTTGTGGTGTTCCTTCTAGTCCTACTGTTGATCGTTGAACAAGGGCAGTGTTTTCTGAAAAGAGCAGTAAGAAGAAGAACTAGAAGTAGCGGCATTGCATCAAATGTTGCGAGCGAAGAAGCAAAGCGCTTACGTAAGTTTGTTTTCCCTTTTTTATTATTGAGTCGGCAACGGATACAAACCATGATCTTCGAAACAGCTGATAAGGCAAACAACGAAATATTAGCTAAATGAATGTACATCATGTCTGTACCTTCCCCTCACCACTCACTCTAGGGTTGCCGACCTAGAAAGTAAAGAAGGGGGTTGTGATGTAGGAAGCTGCTAGAAACCCCATCAAAGACCACAACCATCGCCACACCCGATATACTTTCAATTAAGATTATAACCCATGTTCAAACGCTGTCGACTTTTTACTCGATTTAATCTCGATTTTTGTTGAGTTGATGGTAAAAGTTTCGGGTTAACAACCTTCGGGTCCAAGAGTCTCAAGTTCATTGGGCCACAGATTTGGAATGGCCTACCGAATGAACTAAAATCGGCAGATAATCTGAAAAGTTTTAAGGTTTTAATAAAAAAGTGGGACGGTCCCAACTGCAAATGTAGTGCTTGTGCTTGCCTACCAACTTAATTGTATTATTTAGAAAATATTCATTTTGTTCATTTGTTCTGTATATTCGATTTTGATTAGTTAACTTGTATATATTTAAATGATGTTTATATTGTTAGCTATATGTAAAAATTATCGAATTAAAATAAGATTACATCACATCAGTTTTGAACACTGTTGAGAGCAGTTGAGCGAAGTCGAGCGAAGTTTCAACAAGTTTTAAAAAGTCAAGGGAGGATCAGAGTTTGAAACATGTTTCAAGTGAAATTTTGTCACTGAGTCAATTTTAAACAAATTGCGAATTTTCTTGATTATTGCAATCAAATTGACATCAACTCGAAAAAAAGCTTTGTCGCCAACTTCTTCTCCATTGGCAACCCTGTGTATGCTTAAGGACGAGAACTGAGTTGATTAAAAAGTATTTCTCCTACCTTTCTCTTTTGTCATCTCCTGTATTTATTAGGTTGCATAAATTATAGAAAAAACAAGGTGCGTCTGTCGCATAACATTATTGGGCTGCGCTGACATCTTTTTTGCATTGTTTTTAAGACCCATCCAGTTCAGCAATTGTTCAAGGCGTGAGCGTAATCGAGAGCGTTTGAACACCTTTTGCCCACCAAAACATAACACAGTTGAATGCGTATTTAGTGAGCATAAAGCGGCGAGAGCCTGGCATATTTGGCTCCAAATAGATCCTACTGATTCAGTTATATTGTTTTTGCAATTGAAACTATTGGACGGTAAACCATCAGTATTCTTTCGCAGCATCTTACCACTACGAAGTTGCGATTTTATAACCAAACGAAAATCCAGTGGCTCGAGAACAGGGTTCGACTCAATCAATACCGCTCTGCAGGGCTGGAAATAAATCGAAAGCAGTCGAATAAAAAGTCAAGAGCGTTTGAACAAGTCTTAAAGTTGATTGACCATTTATGGGAAATCATTAGCATAATAAAAGGGCAGTTGACTTGGCCAAATAAGGAATTAACCCAACCCAACATATATATACTCGCTTAAGCCATCTGTCCATCAATATCAGCCAATCCACAAGCGTCTGACTGTTATCAGGCTCACTGATTGGCCAATTGACGGTTGACAGTAGCTCACTGATTGGCCAATTGACGGTTGACAGTAGGTTTAGGCCACTCTAGCTGAGCATTATTTGACTGTGTGCTTTTCTTGCATTGAAACTCTATCTTTAATTTTTTCAAATAAGTAGATGCACCTTTTTTCTTCAATTCATCTTAACGATGTCATTTTAGTTTCTTAGTGGGGCATTGGATTGCACGAAACCCCATAATTGTTCCAACCCTATTGCCTCCACAAGCCACAACTGCTTCACTGAAAATCCCTTCACCGTTGAATATCAAGCAATTTTAAAGGCAATCGACCGATTCCAAAGGGGCTTGACCCATATTTAAATCAAGATTTGACCAATCAGCAAGTCTGATTCCACTCACGCGCTTATTGATTGGCTAATACTGATTGATTGGTGGCTTAAGCCACAGAAACTTCAACGTTGTGTATATTTAGATAAATTAATTTTTTGATGATGATGATTCAAATTTTAATTCACAGGTCGTGCTGTTGAGGAATCCCAGATCTTTGGGGATTCCATGGATTTCGAGGACTTAGAGGAATTGATTGATTCCCCGTCGAGACGACGAGTTAGATAAAGGTACAGTTCTTTTTCAAATCTAACATAGTATCATACGCTCTGGTTGAAAGGGTTCTAGCTGGCTGTCCTGTTCTATACACCAATGCGTCTTCAGAACTTCTTGGAGACAAATTTTCTTATATCATATCACATACATATTGGTAACGTTGTTACAATTGTTTTTCAACAACAGTCGTCAATAGTCTTTAGGCCCGGCAAAACAAATAAAACATCCTTAAAACATTGTAAACCATTTATGTACCAACATTGTCGGAAAATGTTTCATGGCCTGGCAAAACGAATCAAACATCTGTGATGGTCAAGCGCTGCCGCACAGCTTCCTACAGTTGTATTTGCCGAATTTTAACTTACTGCGCTTGCGTTAGTAAAACAAATGTTTTAAGGGGTGGCCAAATGAACGCAACATTGTTGATCAAACATAAGAACAAAAGAGATGTTTCACGAAATGTTTGATGGAAATCAAATTTTGCAAAACATCATGAAACATCGTAAAACATGTTTTATGCAACAATGTTGGATGACATTTTATGCCGATGTTTTATTCGTTTGGCCAGGGCTTTAATTTTTTTTTATGAACGTTACTCAAATAACTTATAGTGAACGTATCCACAAGGCACAATGTCCTGACGCCTTTCACTGGCCATTTAAATCCCATTGGTTACACTATACGATAGACCTATTGTTACGGTCACGCAGAGTGGCATCGACATGGGGCGGAAAAAGCCGCCATTGTGTAGACAGAAAGATTTCTTTTTTTCTGATGGACTCCAGTGGTAATTTCTCTATAGGCACGCGGCACTGATTGGTCAACCATACCGGTCTTGTGCTTGCGTTTTTCTGATTGGCCTATTTCGATCCACAACTTGGTATGTGTTTTCCATCGTGTTCTTTCGGAACGTTATTCTGACGTTTTATACGCTGAGGAGCAGGGACGCCTGCACAAAATTAAGGCTCTTTAATTAAGGCCAAATTGTCTCTTTTTTTGTCAAATTTCTTAGGATTAATCTTCTTCTGTGATGTTCATGAAAATCCTCTTCTGGATCAACAGAAAAACTGAACTGCAGAACTTTTTGATATCTTTGAATATTTTTAAAAATTACACGAAGGACAATTTTTCGTCTGAAAAATTGTAAAAGATTATCTACCCGTCAAAATCCCAATTTTACCGACTAAAATCCCAATTTTACCGACTTAAACACAAATGCCTATTCTTTGGGGGTGTTATATCCCCCCACACCCCCCATGGGCCTGGCCCTGGTAGGAGCATTCGTGACACTGGAAATTAGCATGTCTTGAATCAAAATACGAAGAAAAATTTAAATTTAGAGAAAAAGCTGTCACAAGAAATGTTAGAATAAAGCTCTAGTTTATTATATATTAGTTTTTATATATTATATATCATATGCAACTTTGATGTATATTAGATTTTTATCTAAAGCTTTGAATCGCCTTTAGATGCAAATCTTGCCTTCACCCTACTGCGCATGCTCATTTGATGCACTTTCTCATTTGTTCAAACAAATAGATAAAGTTATGGCCCTAAACAATAAGAGTTTGTACTCCTCTTCCCAACTAGCATGTTATTCAAACTAGGCCCCTTCTGATAAAAATCAGTTTATATATCTCATTATTATTTCTATATAAATTTCATATGTGTTTATGTATATTTCAAAACAACCCTAGGCCAAGTCTAACTGCGAAAATGAATTAGTTTACAATCTAACGAAAAAGGAGTGGATTAATTACAAGTAGAAAATTCTATGATCAATTTTCAATTTGAAAAGTTATCTTTAATTTTGCATTTCTTTTTAGATGAGATGTAGCCGTTTCACTGATGACTTCACAAAGGAAGTCTTCATAGCAACTGATATCTGTTATAACGGGTAAAGCAGAGTGCCAAACAACTAATATACAGCTTTTTTATCTTGCCTTGTAATATGTACACTAAGCATTGTTTGCATTTGGCACAATATAATTATTTCTTGCAAAAAATTATTTGTTTCTTGCTAAAATTACTTGGGCTCTTGTTAAGATTCCTTGGTTTCTTTGCTAAGATTACTTGACTTCATGCTAAGATTACTTGGCGTCTTGCTAAGATTACTTGGTTTCGTGTTAAGATTACTTGGTGTCTTGCTAAGATGCTAAGATTACTTTGTTTCGTGTTGAGATTACTTGGTTTCGTGTTAAGATTACTTGGGTATCTTGCTAAGATTAATTGGTTTTGTGTTAAGATTAATTGGTTTCTTGCTAAGATTACTGGGTTTCTTCTGAGTTCTTCTAATTTGAAGTTTCGGCAAAGATGAAATTTCACTTTTAAGACCATAGGCCATTCCAATCCCATTCAAAAGACGAGATAATCAAGTGCTTCTTTGATCCTTCTTTACTAGGAGACTGTTATTCAGTGGACTGAAGGCTTTTTAATGTATGAAATTTTAGAAAAAATCAACGTTGGAATGAAATTAACCATAAGAGCACTCAGTTCACAAAATATTCGAAAAATAGGCCCCGCATTTGGTAAAGATTTTTTTGCTTTTATATAAAATGTGATGCTTTTTAAAAAAGGGATTCCCTTAAATATCAGTAATGGGATTAGCTTGCTTAAGTCCCCCTTTTTCAAATGTCATCTTGTATTTGAATTTTTTGTGTCCCAGCATCATACTTACAAGTAACATAAAGATTATTTTTGAATATCTAGAAAGCACGGCCCCTCCACTATGAAATTCGTGGCATGGGCCCTGTAAAGCTATGTTTAAATGCTTCAAAATATCTGCCCTATAACAAAGCCAATTCTTCCTATAAGATCCCACATTAAGAAATCTAAAGACTTAACGATTATGCCATTTACAAAACTGTGTTACAGCCGTCGACATGATCTGGGTTGCCAGATTTACATTAAAAATATGCTAATTTATGAAAAATTATGCAAAATTATCAAGGTATAGCTGCGGGGAGGTTAATTTAGGATAAAGTTGCTCTTACAGCTTAGAAAGATGCTGTTCTTTTATCTCTAGCATGAAAAATTTATCATTTTAAGGAATAGAAAAGGAAAAGTAAAGTTCTCTATTGATAGCTATGTCATGATCTTTTCCATTCACTTTGTTTGATGTTAAAAAGCTACTGTGGGAGCATGAATTGATGTTGACATCTACATGACCTCTGAATTCAACATCGTTAATTTTGTATCTGTTGTACAAAACTTTTTTCAATAATCTGTATTTATATCTTTTTTCGTGCAAAGTTCGCGGGGGGTATCACTCTATCCAATCAGCGTAGGACTTTTAGAGACTTTAAAGGAACTTTTCTCGAAAACAATAGTATTTCTGCCAAAGGCGCACAAGATTTTCGTGGAGTGACATGCCCCGCAAAAAATGAACTGTGGGTTTTTATGAAGAATGGATTTTTATGTCCTGAGAGTGTAATGTTAGAACACAGGGTTCCCATTCATTGCAAGACATCACTTGACGATTGCATATCATTGAGCTGCATCTGTAAACTGTAATATTCTTTAGGGTATATAAGGGGTGGCTTTGTAGTTAGGTTCAGTCTTGCCGTAACATTGTCGAACTCAGTGTGTCTTGTCGCCAGCTTGCAGAATTGTGTTTGCCGTTACATTGTCGTCGTTAGCCGTTTGAGATTTCTTTAGTCGTTTGCCGTGAACTGATGAATTAGAAGAAATGTAAAACATTAGAGAATAATAATAATAATAATAAAAACTTTATTTCAGTGTCAATTTGAGAACAGTTTTTGCCATCGTGTACGCTTCATCGAACAACCTACGAACTCACGTCTGTTAAATCCCCCTTGTAAGTGGTTCACAGTAAGGCCCTGTACCTGTGATTCGTTTAAACAGTCAAAAAACTCCTCGACGTGTATGACACGAGGTCACTCGGACTATCCAAACCGGGTTCTTTGCCTCTGCCGCTACTTTTTCCAGTTTGGCAAAGATAGTTTGATTTCCGCTCGAAAATTCGAGCACACAGCAGTTCGTGAGTGAAATGGTTGATTGCTCTGTGTCAATTAAAAGTGATTTAAAACAAAATTTCATCTGATTTTGGGCACTAATGTATGCAAAACTATGCCAAAATTGTCATATAATATGAAAATAAGGTAGCCTGCTTCTGATGTGCCAATACAAATGGGCAATTCCAAAACTCGTGGTTTGGACTTTTTTCCCAATGAGAAAAACATTAGACTCCAGATAGTAGCCTTTCAAAAACATACGTAAACAAACTCATCGAAAAAACATTATTTACCATGAGAAAAACATATTTTAACGTTTATTAGCAAATTATTAGCAACGTTTATCAAAGGTCTCAGTGTTTTTGCCAACTTTCTGTCCGCTGTTAACTTTATCTTCTCCAGCTAATTAGGCAACGCTTGAGTAAGAGTATCTCACTCCATTTATTTGGCATCATTTGGAAACAGAGCTAGATTGTTTACAGCAGAATACGGTGCAGCACGAGCAAGGTAAGAGACAATATGAAGTGTGCCATTGTCTTTCTTCTTGTTTTGGTACTCATTGTTGACCAGGGACATGGTTGGAGTAGAAGACGATCTACAACTGTGAAATTGGAAAGGAAGAAAAACGTTACTGAAAATGTTGATGTAAATACTTCAGGTAAGTAGCAAGTAGAATTTCATGGTGTTTTGTAGGCAAACAATATACTGTTTATCTTTGTTTGTAATATATGACATACGAGGCAAATTTCAAAATAAGCGAGGCTGATAAAATCACAATTGGTATCATGTTTGTAGGATATGATATTTGCAGAAGAGTGTTCCCCAAGGGGTAGTTCACTCATGCAAATAGTGTACGAGATTTCCATCAAAACAAGAAGAATTCCAGGGAATTTATCATCAAACAACAGGATTTCCACCAAAGGTGTATAAAATTTTTATGAAGTGATTTGCCCCTCGGTGTTCCCTGACCCTAGGCGACCTGTGTGATACGTCATCGTAATATGTGATACGTCAATGCAGTAAAAAATTCCTCTACATATATTGAAATTTATGACGGAGTCATCCTACTCAGATTCTTTACTTCCAGCATTTTAGATATTTCCAGCCTAATGAAAGAATACAAAGCCTGACAGTATATACCAGGGGTGTAGCGCTAGGTGGCTCAGGGGGGTTGAGTCCCCCTCCCCTTGTTGATGTCGAGAATTAGCAGATTTCTACTTTTGCTTTTGTTTCTCGCAACATCTTGTGCAAGAGCCCCTCCCCCCTTGTTATTTTGATAGCACTACACCACTGGTGTATACCAACTTTAGGAAGGCCACTGCACGCAATTTTCGTAAGAAACACCCCTCAAGATGACAGATTGCTAACCATATAATAGTACTTGTCAAATAAAACGTCAGTCGCTGCTGGAGAACGATTCCTTTAAAGATTGGTTTCAAAATATTCCCTTCAACGATTGGGCACCAATTGCTGGTTCCACGGACACGGACGACAGGTTCACTCCTTTGAAATTTTTTCTAATTCAATGTAATAAACATACATGCAGTTTATTAGGGCAAATAACTCGATAGCTCATCTGAGCTTATTTACCCTAAGCTTTGTTAATTGTAAGTATGTTTAATCATGTAGCTTATAATTAAAAGCTTGAATTTATCATTATTGAATTGAATTGAATTGAATTGAATTATTACGTGTTTAAGGGTAAACGTTTCAAAATATAGTCTAGGTATCGAAGAGGCTGTTAAGAAGACTTTGGTGTTAAAAGCAAATAGATTTGAAAAGTGAAAACTGTTTCCGAGTCCAGTTATCATTTAAAATTTTTGTATACCCCAGCCTGTAAATATAAATACAGTTCATTTCCTATTTAAAATTGCATCTTCGATTGTTTTTCAGTTCCCATAATTGAAAACGAAGGAGCTGCGGAAAATCGCACCTTTGAGGATTCCCAGAGCTTCGGAGATTCCCACAGCGTTGGTGATTCCCACAAATTGGAGGATTCCCCAGCATCCAATGAAGATGAACTTCACGATGATGGTACTTTCTTCTTTGGCCAACCTTGATATATCTAAAACCTGCATGTGTTCCGTTACTTAGTTTTTTCCATCTATTGTTTTTCCTTTGACTGAAAGACTTGAGCTGCTAATAGCGTCCCCTAAATTGACACAAAAGTTGCTTAACGTTGCCTTATTATCAATTTGAAATATTCCAAAGGTTAGAAAATATTTCATATTCTGTATTTTGCCAGATTGAAATACTCTTCACTCACAAATAACTTTCAAAATTTATCTGCCCCCCCCCCCCCAGTTCAACAAAACTTAAACAATAATCGAATAGTTGTCCAATGTGCCAGGGGGTTAGTTGATGAGAATTAACGCATCATCCGCCGTTTACAATCATGGATGACTCTTTAACAGAAACGCCAGAGAGGGGGGTGCGAGAGGTCAACCACCCCTGCCTCCTTTTGGTAGGCCAAAGTTTCCTTTTCATTAACTAATTACTCTTTTCAATGCGCTTAAATCGGCCTTTTGTTATTATTAAAGAGATTCATCTGAGTTTCTGACTGCAGTGCCTAATTCATGACGTCATTTTTCGAATCTTGTTGATATAATTTTTTATGCTAGCCAATTTTCAAGATACCTACAGAAGAACGAAATAAAATGGCAGATACGAAAGAATTAGTAGAAGCTGAGAATTATCTTTCAAATGCTTTTTACTCTTGCCACTTGGTCTTTCCGGCATCTCTGCTCTTTAACGAATACGGCACCTACCAAATCTTTATCTTTATCGAGATTTGTAAATCTACCAGCCTATCCTTATTTCCAAATGTCATTTTGAAAATTTGCTTCCATTTTTCTCTTTTTCAGGTCCAAATGGTGACGTCATAGTATAAAGAGTGGAACTCTCTTCATAATCTTGCTGAATATGTTTTTCTCTTTTTCAATGCACCGAATTCATGTTATCTTTTGCGAATATTCAGTTTCTTGCTGTAAATGATAATCTGTTCTTGGCCACCACTTTATGTTGCATTTCTGTTATATTTCTACAAAAATCATGGGTTTTCTTTGTACGATAGTTACGAAAAACTATGAAAATGCACGAAAGATGGAAACTAAATTTATCAATTACAATGACATTCACACAATTAAAACGAATTTCTAGAAAATTCAAAGATTTTTATGGTTGCTAGGATGTGGCTCACATTTTAAACGCTCAAATTTATTGTTCATAGAATTTTAGCTGCCAAGTATAAAACAAACATTTCAATCGTGGTTAGCAGGCGAGAAAATTTGTCCCCTCTATTAACATGGGCTCCGATGAAGGTTGGAAAGAGTGGGGGGAGGGGGGATGCAAAGGAAAACTTGACAATCATAACAACAGAATTTTAAAAAAAACTCATTGTTTTGCCCCCTCTATTGTTGCAACTTTATAAGGCATAGTTAATGCAATGAGACTTGAATTTCATTTTGGAGAAATAAAAGATGATATTTTTCAACCAATTCTTGCAAGCAGGAAAATAAGCGGCTATGTGTTGGAATGCTTTTAAGCCAAAAGTTTTTCGAGTGTTTTGAAAAAATTCGAACTTGATAATTCTATAAAGTTAATTTCAAGTGTTAAAAATTTTGTAGGAATCTGTTAGTCATATGGTGTGTTCGAGGCAATTTCAACACTACCTTTCATCCAAAAGATAAAAAATTTCTTGCTTATACGAGAAAGGATAGCCCAATTTCAACTTGTATCTTTCTTTATAATTGAAGGTTTGAGACATTTGTGACTAAAATAAATTTGATTTTGAGGGCGTAATACCAGATTTTGACTTTTCAACAATGAGCTATTAGTTTTAACAAAATGAAACAAATACGTATTTCAGTAACATATTGGTCAAAACAAAGAAACCAGGGAAGCTTCTTTTTGTCTCGCTGTTTTTTCTGCAATCAGAGGTAAAAAGAGTTCACGTTTATGCCTGCATGGGAGTATTCAAGCAAGAAAAAGCTGGAATATAATGGCGAAGTTTATAAAAAAATGACGATATCGACTGCTGCTCAAAGGGTGCAGCTTTTAGTGTGTGTTAAGATGTTTTTCAACACAAAAGTTTGCGAGTAAATCTGAATTTAAAATTCGAAAAAACAAGAATCTGCATTATGTTCGGGTATCCATAGTAACAAAGGCCATAGCAACATCGAAGGTCTTCTAGTCCCAGGCTTCGAATGAGATTCAAACAACACTTCTCGAAGTAAACTGTTGATGTTGATCAACTTGCTTCATTTGATGACCCTGTTTTAAACTTCCATTCCTAATCATGGTGAGTAATACATCTTCATAGTTAAAATATGAATTTGCACCTATACTGGTAAAATCTTAATGTCTTCCAAACTCTGATGGATCACCGCTATTCGCTCCTAGCTAGGCCCAAATCCGATCGGCCTGAGTGAGTTTCATATTTTTGTTCATTTCCACAGATGAGCCTAGATCTTTTTAATTGATTTCTTGAATGACTCCTTCGATTATTGCTTCCGTTCCCTTAAGTTCAGTTCCTTTCGTTCCATGCCATTTTCATGCCAACTTGTTTCCCCCGACGCCAAAGTCATTATTTTGAAGAAAGTCAGTTATTTATTTGTTTCATATGCATCCTCGATTATTTCTAAATTAGATAGAATTCTCTAAATAAGAAAAATGCACATGGCTGTGATTCAAGATGAATACTGATAAAAACCAAGTAAAACTGAAGTATGTTACGAAATATTGTTTTAATATAATCTTGATTTCTTTGATTCATTAAAGAAATCTGAGATAAAAATTAATTTTGCAGTTTTTGAATTTGATAACAATAGATCCTGACAGAGCTCAATTAACATTTATTTTAATGTGGAACTTTGCTCTAAAATTTGTAAGAATGTTGTTTAATTTTTGAAATTTTCTTGTACAAATGCATGTTTAAAAGTATTTCATCATGTTCTTTTCTGACAAAGTTTGAAAATTTCTAGAAATAAATTTTTAAGACTTCATCATTTAGTTTCTCCATATATTTTGCTTTTTGTCAGTAATTAATAAAAAGTTCCAAAGTTATTATTTAGCAATTTGTTTCCCAGTTATTTAATTTGGTTAAGTCCGTTAAACAAATCATGCATTTTCTGAATTTGACACAAAACGGAAATCAAATCAAATCATGCATTTTCTGAATTTGACTCCATCGGTAACATTCTCAATAGGCAAGCGGCACTGATTGGTCAACCTATACAGTCATGTGCTCGTGTTTCTGATTGGCCTATTTTAATCCACAACTGGGTATATATATTTCCTAGCGTAGAGTTTTAGATCTATGTTCTGACGTTTTAAACTCTGAAGAGTGTCAGACGAAAAGCTTTAGTTTACTAATGTTTGCTTTTTTCAAAGCCATTTATATTTGGTGTATAGAACAAAATGGTTTTGAGTTATTTGTTACTCCACCCGCTACTTGGTGTATAGAACAAGGTGGTTCTAAGTGTTACTCAGTTTCATGCCTAATCCATTCATCAGTCATGTTTCCAATATCTCCTTTAATATATCAGGCCTGGCCGTAAGACTTTGAACAGGGGAGCAGTAAACAGCTCTCCTAGAAGTATTCAGGTGAGCTATAAGAATAGAAACAAAGGAAAAATTGATTTCAAGGAGAGCAATTGCTTTTTAGAACAATTTAGGAGAGCAATTTCTAAGTCCCCTCCAGCGTTTGAGGAGAGCCTAGAGGGGAGCAAGAGCTAATGGCTCTCTTCAAATGGCCAGGCATGATATATATACATGTAAATGTGCCATGTTTAAAATGTTCTATCATTATCTAAAAATTCTTTGATAAACATATGTAACTCATCTGTCTCTTTTGAAGATTGCTGCTTGTTGAATACACGGAAATAAGAAAAGATTAGAATCCATGGTGCTACTACAGTGTGCATAGTAACAAGTAAAAATACAAAAAAACTTTAAACAAAGAAGTGAAGCTTGATGTGTTTTTAGGAAATTTCAAAACTACACAGTATAGTCCGGTTATAACATACTTTAAGGGACCAGTGTATTAAGTACGTTATATCCGAAGTACATTGTAACGAGGGTATTTAGAAATTAACCAAAACCAAGCACATCTTTTGCCGGGACCAAGCACACCAGTACGTTATATCCAAAAGTACGTAATAACTGAGTACGTTATAATGGGATTCTACTGTATTAGTTTGGGGTCTGTCTATCATGGACACAATATTTATATCATAACACAGACCTAAAAACACACTAAGGGACCAGTGTATTAGAACAAACAAAGGTGTGTTCTATTACAAAAAGCTAATTTTGTGACACTGCCAAAAATATTCCTCATGATTATTCCTCGCTTTTTTATTTGAATGAAAAGAAGCTTTTTATGTTTCAAATTCTTAAAAATTCAACCAATTTGTACTTTGCCTCTAGAGTCTGGATGAGCAGTTATTGAGTAAACTTTGTTTATCTGTAATAGTAATTGGTACTGTGAAAAGCCTATTTTGTCAATTTTCTTTTGCAGGAAGATTACCAATTAGCTTCATTTTGTGTGCAGTTAAACATAAATTTATCACACTTACAGACCTTGCTTTGTGTCCTGTGGGCAAAACTGTGTTTTTTTTGGACTTTTTTAATTTAGGCCAACAATATGCTGGTTCTCATCTAGTATTATCAGGGTTGTGTCAACTAACATTATAGGAAAGATCAAGAGACAAGGAAATTTATTAGGATCCCTGATCATGTTGTTGGTCCAGGTTCCAGGACAAGTACCCTTTCTGTGCGGCACTTCCTTATGTTTGCATTACATTTGTTAATGTGAGGGATCCACTTATAATTTAGTTCTGTTTAAAACCTGTTTTAAATCCTTTCTGTCTGCAGACTACAACATGGAGAAACCAAGAGAGGACCATGAATGATTATAGAAAGAAAGAAATCGAAAGAGAATCCACATTGAGATCTCTGCAAAATGTAAGTTATCCATATTTTGTTGCCGGAATTACTGTTTGTTTTATAAAGCTGTTGCTAGAACATTAGAGTCTTGATGTTTGCTCTATATACCTTGACATCTCTAAAGCGTTTGATCAAGTATGGCACAAAGGCCTTGTTTAGAAGTTACGAATATGTGGTGTTTCTGCAAATCTACATAACCTCCTCCGCAGTTTTCTGTCAAATCATAAACAGCAAACAGTTTTGAATGGCAAGTCTTCTAGTTGTGGTAATATTTCTGCAGGCATTCCACAAGGCTCAATCATGGGACCATTACTTTTCCTTATATATATCAATGATTTGACTGAGGGCCTGAAATGTACTGTTAAATTATTTGCTGATGACACTTTTTGCCACTGTAAACAATCCTAAACAGGCAGCTGATGACATGAACCATGACCTGGACCGTATAAAATCCCCATGGCTCCCATGGTATTGTACCAGAGTCATTGAGACCTACATCGGTCCAGGTCCAGGTCATGTACTCGAGCCATGGGAATCTTATACGGTTCAGGTAGAGTAATTATCAAGTAAAGTAAAATGTAATATGTATTGTAATATTTTATCTGGATATAAAAAAATTAGAGTGTATAAAGAAAGCAGCCAACAAAGGATGAAGCTGATGATGCATAGATTTTTTATCCTAATGTTTAGAAAACAGTCAAATATTTTTGTCTCTTTTTTGAATTTACCTTTCCTCTACAATTTACTCTACAAACTTTAGAAAGTTCCCAGGAGAATCTCTGACTTATTCTTTTCCCTATTTGATCCTCTGTTAGGAAGCATCACTAATTGTTCTCTATGTCTACAGTTGATATCTTTTCTTTTCTAAACTTTCTTTTCTATATCAGGAAAAACTTCTTGAAGCCAACATGGAGAGCGAAGAACGGGTCGAAAACAGAAGGTTTTTGCGACGAATGCAGCAAGAAAATAAAGAGAGAGAAATGGCTTCTGCTTTAAAGTCTGTAAGTCAATGCATTATAATGGTATACCTTTAATGCTTCCTATCTGATTTCAGAGCGGGAAAGATGTTCATGCATGTTAACTTGACATTGTCAAGTCTTCTTCAAAGTTATAGCAGAAAAAAATGAGCGGGATCTTTTTTCCATTGCTGCTTGTTTGTTTACTCATGTTATAGAATATTTTGCTAGATTGTTTGATCATGCAGACTGTCTTGTGGTACAGATTTGAATGCCTAAAGTTGCTTTCATCAATTGTCAAACATTTTCTGTGTTTTCTAATATAGCAGTCTATCCAGTCAAACTATGTACCTTAAACATTGTCAAACATATTTCATGGTGTTTGACATTGTTTGACATCGTATTGTTTCCTTATGTTTGATTGTCCAGAGTGTTGTTTAATGCTCTCTCTCTTTGGTACCATATCACGAGGCTTTGGCGACCATGCTCTGCCACAATTCTCTGTTCTTAGTCATGTGTATTAAATCCGTCTCCTTGGTTGTTATACCATTTGTTTGGATCCATCCAGCTAGACAATTCATCCACAGTATTCTCTGCCATCCCTTGCTTCTATTTTCCTCTATCTGTCCAGCTAGTGCCAAGTTCTCAAGTCCGTCTTTCCAAAGCACATGCCCCAAGAAGCGCATCCATCTCATTCTGATGTCCTTAATAAGCCTTCTGTTTACACCGGGTCTTGCAAGAACTTCTTCGTTGCTCACCTTGTCTGTCCACGGTATTCTCATCATCTTCCTTAAGAACCTCATCTCACAACTTTCCAGGCACTTCTTCAAATCTGCTGTTAATGACCAAGCCTCTCTCCCATAGCACAGGACAGGATAGACATAACAGTTTAGCACACAAAATCTCGTTGACATAATTTCTCAAAGTGTTATCCAATTTTTGAAATGCAGATTTTGCTAAAGCTATCATTCGTTTGATCTCTTTAACCCATTTAGCATCTTTGGTTATCAGACTGCCTAGATAGCTAAAAGGCGAGACTTGTTTGATTTTCTGGTCCTTTACTCTCAGCGTGAACACAGGACGTTCCCTTTTCTTTGAAACGACTAAACATTCTGTTTGCTTACAGTTTATGATCAGACCTTTTTTCTCGCTCTCTTTTATGACAACATCAAGAAGCTTTTGTAGAGCACTGGCAGATTCGGCTAACAAAGCTGTGTCGTCTGCATACCTTATGTTAGTGATATTGCTTCCACCTACCCTCAGACCCTTCTCGTTATTTATCTCTCTCAAGATCTTTTCAGCGTAAAAGTTGAAAAGATCTGGCGACATCACACATCCTTGTCTAACTCCTGTCGCAATATCTGTGTAGTTAGTACATTCACCATCGACTCTAATGCAAGCAGATTGATTCCAGTAGAGATTCTGCAGCAATTGAAGATCTTTTCAATGCATATCCAACTTTTGGAGTTCCTCAAACATGTCATCATGACGAACTTTATCAAACGCCTTGCTGTAGTCAATGAAACAGATAAAGACATCTCTTGCATTTCCACAACTCTTTCTGCTATCATTCTCGGCATTTTTAATGCTACATTCTTCAAAGAACATGTACTGCAACACAAGTACTTGCCTGTTCTCTGATGAGGCAGTCTACCTGACGAAAATGCTTCTGAAGCACTGCTAAACATGTTTCATATTGTTTGGCAGTGTTTTGTTGTCCATAGTGCTGCCGAAAGTAACCTTGAAGTGCCGAAAGCGCTTCGCAATCTACAGTACAGCTCTAAGTATCAATTCACCAACGCAATCTACAGTACTTGATGATAGAAATATACAAAACCAATTAACAAAGTCAATAAACATGGAAGAAGATGTTCGCCAAACATTGAAAAACACTTTCCAGTTTCATGATTGAGCAGTCTACTTAATTAAACAACTGTTCTTGAACACTGTCAAACGTGTTTTGCACTGTTTTGTTTATCATTTTTTTTTATTTCCCATGAACCCTTTTAAAGTCTAAATACGTTTAAAACAACGTTTGTCAAACATTGTAAAACACCTTCGAATTTGATAGTGACATTTATTTTTTAATATTGCTAGGGTTTTATGATGTTTTAAAATGATTCCTTTTTTCAAATGCATTACAAAGCGTGTAACATGCTGTTTGTCAACATGGTAAAATACTTCTAAGTTTGAAAATGAAGCATTCATTCTGTTCAGAAACTTTTCTTGAAGATTGTCAAGAGTATTTTATAATGTTTGGAGGGTTTTTTCAAAAGCATTTCAAAGCAATTAGCATTTCAAGAGAAGCCTTCTTAGGTTTGAAAACTTGTAGAAAAATGTTCACAAACATTGTCAAGGATTTATAATTTTCGTCTTTATGCCGTCTGAACTAGGTTTCTTGAACTTTTTAAAACGTGTTTGATTTGTTTGCACGCGTTTTTTGTCATTACTTGAGCACAGCCAATGGAGATGAACATTATCTAACAAAAATAGACAGTAATTTTTTATGTATATTTGAGAAGTGTTGGTCATTGTAAGTGATTGTTAAATCAAACTAATAGATTTCTAATGTGAAGTTTATGTGCTTGCAAATATATTTTTACAAATTGTCCTTTCCATAAACCCTTTGGAAACACTTTTGTTGTATGCCAAATTTGGCACTTTTGCTCAAACAAACCCATCGTGGACAGTAGTCTGCAAGAGATATTCAATTTTCTTGTAGGCCGAAGAGAGGCGTATCATGACAGAGAGGCAAAGAGAACAGGAGGAAAGGCTTGCCAAGGTGAGTCAATTTGATTTCAACAGGATTTGCTAGTTATGATTGTTTTTAAATCGACCATAAATTGAAAATTTTTTTAAATATGTCAGCGAGAGTTAAAGCATCATTATTTCTGTTCATTATCATACTTTCATAGGTAGTGGCCGTGTTATAATAATAATAATAATAATCACAATTAATCATCTTCAACAACATTATTATCATAATCATCATAATTATCGATCATCTCAATCATCACCAATCATTGCCAATCATGATTAATCAGTCATCACCCAATCAATCATCACTCAATCATGATTAATCAGTCATCACCCAATCAGTAATCACTCAATCATCACTCAATCATCTTCATCAGCATCATCAAGATATAGCCTGCCATGTTATTTAGACCCTGTTTACATGAGGCCTGGACAAGTTCAGATCCAAAAGTATCCGGATACTTCTGGATCCGTTCCCAGGTGTTTACACAGGCTCCAAACCAAAACAATTTGTGTTTACACGGGATCGGATCCAGATGAGATCTACAGATAATGCGCATGCGCTTTTCAAAATTTGGCGTGCATCAGGCATTTTTCATGCAAACTACGATTGAAACAAACAATCCAAACTGAACATGGGGGAGGTAAAGCAACTCGCGGTTTAACAAGAAAGAGCCAAAAGTATACGGATCAACCAGATCCCGTAAAAAGGCAAGGCCTATCCGTACTCTTTTGGATCCGATCCGGATCGGGGTCTTAATTGATTCTTGTTATTTTAAACAGGAACTTGAAAGATGCAAGTTGGAGACCATAAGAGACGAGAAACATAGACAGCAAATAAGAGAAAACAGGTACTTATAAAAACCAAACCATTTTTACATTTGACTACCTATGTTACTAAACTAATTTTCAATAGATTTGTAGAAACAACAAAAACTGAATTATATTTATTCTGAAGGAGTAAGTCAAATAAACTGCTCCAACTTTGTGTTTAAAGACTCATTGCTAACAATGAGCCATTGCGCTACGCAAGCATCCCATTATGCATTTTTAGACAGTCTGAAATCAATTTTGGGCTATTTGTAGAAGTTTACTGCCATTGTTTGGTTCGTCGCCACGCTCGCAAAGGCCCATTGTTAGCAACGAGTCTTTAATTTCTATCCATAACTGGACGTCATTTTCCACTTAGCTTTCAGCCATTACCCGACTTTTTATGCTCTGAAAACTGTCCGACGAGAGGGACGTTTCTTCTTTTCTTGAAAGCGCCATATTCAAAGACAGAGATACAACTTTTGTTTGGGGGGGGGCAGCCCTGATAAATAAGTGTAAAACTGACATATTTACAAAATAAAAGTACTTTACTTATACTACTCAAGTTTTTTTGGAAGGCTAAGGCCCCCCGTTATCTAGGTCCTTGGTCATATTCTGGTTTTATTCCTCTGTATTGTGAAAGCCCTACTGAATTTTCCAAAATTATTAAACGCCCCTTGAATGTCCGTCCTTTTGAAAATGTTTAAAAACGCAAATAACGCCCCTCCCCCTTCTCTCAGGCGTCACCTCCATAAAATGCCTGTCTTTTGAAAGGGGGGAGATGTTGAAAATCATAGAGTATATAATCAACGCACTAAGATTAATGTTTAATATAACATCTTTATTAGTTTTTAATGTAAACAATTCAATGAATTTTAAAACTCTTTCTTGTTTCTTCTTTTCAAGCCTTGAACTGCGAGAGCTTGAATCAAAGCTACGGGCGGGCTACATGAATCGAGAAATAGCGGCCCAACTGGCCGAGAAAACGGCAAGGGATTATAAAGATAAGGTAGAGTACAGACCCTTTTATATAATCTTTGATCAACTTATCAATGTGGTAGAATACCGTTGAGGGTATTTCTGCGTCTCTTGAGAAAATCGTCAATTCATGGTTTTTTCGTAGTATTTAAGGCATTGAGTCATGATTAAAGCAGAGGATATTCCCAAAGGTACGCAACTTCGCTGAGTCATTATTTCGGGCTTCAACGCTATTGGTTAGTCTGGAACTGGTCACATGAACTCACCTTGTACTGATTAACAAAGCTATTGACGGAAGATGTTATGTGTATCAGTATAAGACGAAATCACGTGGTCAGTGTCAGGAACACCAATAGCATTGCGGCACCCAAATCATGGCTTAGCTTATTTGGGTATACTTTGTCTTTTTATCATGACTCAATGCCTTTCTGTACACCCAAGACATCCTTAAGGATATGTTGGATACCCCCTTGTTATTGTACTGTAGTCACATGATTTTTTCCATATTTACACTTGTTTAGAATGACCCCTAATTTGCTACTGGACCCCTTTTTGGAAGATTTTCATTGGCATTTCCGAACTTTTATTTAACGATGAGTTCCATGGTAATAAAAAGGCTTAATAAACCCGGGTGAATTTACTATAGAATTTTATAAAACAGGTAACAGATAAAGAAGTGTAGTAAAGGTCCCTGTGCTTTGAGTTTCAGTTCAAGGGTAACCATATCTTCGAATTAAAACAGGTACAAGAAGCTGAATATGCGGAAAACATGGAGAAGGAATATTTAAAAGCACTAGAGATGGAGAGAGACAAAGAAAAACAAAGATGGGAGGATAGTGTGCGATATCATGAAGAATTGGAGAAGCAGTTGAGACAGCAGGAGTTGGCCAAGCAGGAACAGTATGAAGAATTCTTAAAAGAGAAGTTGATGATCGATGAAATAGTAAGGAAGATTTACGCGGAAGATCAGAAGTAAGTTATCTTCTTTTTGTGTGAAATGCAAGGGTGAACAGTTAGTCTTTACAAGGGACTAGTATCTAGGTGCGGGGATGGCTCAGTTGTTAGAGGCGCTGACTACAGACCCAAGGGTCCGTGGTTTGAGTCCCTGGCATGACCAAACTTTCACTTTCTTAGCTTTGGTGTATCTGTGAATATCCAATAAGGATAAAGTATTTGATACAAACTCTTCTTTCCCAAAGTTCAAAAGAGTGGTAAGCGTGATATCGATGTCAACTACAATATCATATACATGGGCTCTGACACAGGCTGGGAGGTGGGGTTGGGGAGCAAGAGAAACTTTATCACCCACAACAAAAGATTTTGGAAAAAAGCTCTATTGTTTTGCAAAAAGTGGGGGCATCCCCCGGCCCCCTTTCGTCGTAGGCCCTGATATATAATAATAATCATAGCAATGTACAAATTTACAACAGGAAAAACAACAATTAAAAGACTTTAAATCGATCTGTTTTACTTCTTCTTTAGAGAGCTAGAGGCAAAATTGGAGAAACAGCGTGCTACGCAGGAGTATATTGAAGAATTCAAACACAAGCGTGAAGAGGTACTTATCAACCACTATATATCATTAATTTATCAAGTTCTTAAGTGGTTACGTCACAAAAATCTATTTTAAGAATTTTTAATTTCGATCACATAAACCGATTTTTAAATACTGCCAAATGTGGGAAATCAGTTTAAAATATTAAATATTGGTTATGGTATGGCCGCATGAGCACTGGGTATTTCCCAATCAAACCTCCGAAATTTTATGCATATTTTTATGAGCCAAGCCAGAATAACCGTAATCCGTTGCCAAATTTCAAATCTTATTTCGGCCGTATTTCACCCATTTTTCAACACATCTAACTGATTTTGCAGATTTTGAAATATCTCATTGTGATTTTAGGCCATGTGGTAGAAATTCTAAACATAAATTTTTCGTGACGTCACACTTGCGAACTTTATTCCGTACTTCCGTAGAATGTTAATTTAGCCCATGTTAAATTCTCGTGATCCTGCAGGGAGTATTGCCCTATTTAGGGGTCTGGGTCACAGGCTATATTTTAAGAGCTAGTTGGAAATTTCAGACAGAGACCTTTATATAGCCAAAAGCAATGACGTCATAACAATCTTTTTTAGAATTATGGATCGCATGACCAGGAGAAACCTTTTTATGCAATAAATGTTTAATACATTACAGACGGTCAATTCGATTGAAAATTTGGCATTTCAAAACTTGTATTCGGCGATAAGATTTAGCGTAACCATTTCCTGGCAAATTTGCTATAGATCTCTATAGAAAAAGTAACAGAGATGTGGCAGCCAGTAGTATGGTTGTGTGATGACGTCACAAAAATCTATTTTTAAGCTGTTAACAGCTTGGACCACGATATCTGGAAGAGTGCCATAAAATACCAAATGTGCAAATACGTTAAAACTGTTATTGCCAGTGAGAAATCAAGATTGATCGTTTTGATTACTGCTTTTTCGGCTTGATTTTATAGATTTTTGAACCAGGCACCGCGAAGCGTTGAGAAAAGTGGGGGGTCTAAAAAAGTGGGGGGGTCTAAAAAAGTGGGGGGACTAAAACCGTAAAATAGACGCTTTTCTGGTAGTTTGATAATTATAATTTCTTAGGATTATTCTTCTTAATAGAAGTCTGATGAATGAAGATGTCTTCCTTAACTTAAGCAACGTGGTCCAGGCTAAAAAGAGCTAAAATATGATTTTTAAGACGTCATCAATCATTCGCATAATGTTTATGACGTCACCAATCACGAGTTAGCCTCCTTTAGGTGTATTAATTTAGGCAGTTTTTAAATGAAGCCTTACCCAAGAGTGGGTTTCTTCAAGGGGGGAGACAATTACAGCACTGGTCCTTATACCTAAGTTTATATCGCTGATTAACTGTGATTTGCTAGCGCAAGGGTCTTCACACAGTTAACGACGTTTTGCATTGGTAGGTCGAGTTTTGCTCGCATTTTCCTTGTATCTAACTTTAAAATAAGTGTGTTTAGTTTACTGCAACAGAATTTGATTTTTTCAGTGGAAAATCCGAGAAAGAGACATGATGGAGGAGGAAAACAGAAAAATTCTCGAGTTTGCTCAGAGACAGCAACAACGGGAGAGCGAACGAATGGCAGCCAAGCAAGAGAAGGAAGAGGCCATGTCAGCTGTCCAGCAAAAGGTAAGGGAGCTTCCTACTTTTCTCTCTTTAACCATTAGATCACGTGATATTAATGTCAGTCATAATGCCAGCTATGATAATCATCATGACAATGGAAGAAATGTACAGCAAAAAATACAAAAATTGAAGATTGAGCCTCGAATGAAACCGACAAATATAAAAGCGGCTTAAGCCATGTGTAAATAAACATTAGCGAATCAGTAAGCTTCTGGGTGGAATCACACTCACTGATTGGTCAATTTTTTATTGAAAGATAACTTAGGCCCCTTTAGAATCTCTCGATTACCTTTAGATTATTTAGGATTAAAGAAATTATTTTTAATCATCTCTCTAAATTCTCTTGTCAAAGAATTGTAGCACTCAAACTATCAAATGGCAACCTAGATATGGGAGATTTTCATTAGTTCTGGGTATATTGTCTTAAGATAGGCACTTTCATTTCTTGCATCTCCGCCTTTATCATTCTGCTTACATATTAAAGGCAATCTGTCTCGTTCTGGATTGGTTAACGAGAAAAATAGCTGGAACAATAGCCTAAACACAATTCCAGCGCTCCGCCATATTTTTTACAATGCGATAAATTAAAGGGGGACTGGAAACAATAAAAAAATCCTTTTGTTCTTATAATCAATCAACGTCGTGACAGATTGCCTTTAACTGACATATATTAGCAGTAGTCACTGAAGTATTAAGTAAATACGTCATAACAGGTTTATTTCGACACGTGTAAGAAAAATTCCATTTTATTTTCACAGCTCTCCAAAGAATTGGCAGAGAAGCAAGCTGCTATTGAAGAAATGGAAAAGTTTGTTTTCTTTTGCTATCTTTATACCATAAAGCCATATATGATATATGAACGGAATTAAATGAGTATTGTTTTAGTATGAGTATTTATATGAATGTGTATTAGAATAGGCCATGATCCATCTGAAGGATTTCCAATTTGTAGGAGCACAGATAGTAAAGGGGCGATATTCCTTGATGGTGGCACTTTTCTAATTATTTCCTGTGCTTTTCTATTTTTCATTTGTTTTCCTGAATGCTACTACTTCCGTCCCCCTTTCCCCCAAAACAATGTTGAAAGTATAGAAAAATATCAAACAATCCACAAGAAAAAGCGTACTCCATAACCCCTTTCTTTTTTCTATAGTAAATCAACGATATTTTTTAGAGGGAGAGGAGGGTTGCTGAATTTGCCTTTGAAAACCTACGTTAGTGTTCCAAGATATTTGGCAGTGATTGTAGTTTTCCAAAGGTTGGGGGCACGTGCCCCAAAGCATCACCCCATCTCCAACGTCCCTTTCCAATACTTTTGCATTTTTTATATCTAGATAAATTTATCTTGGTGCCTTCCTTGACATCCTTGCTATTTTGGCAATAATTATCGTTCAGTTCTGGGTTAAGGTGAACATATAAAGTCATCTTGCTCAAATCAACATTGTAGATACCTTTCTATGTGGAAGCTAATTTACAAATATATTGTTGATTCTACGTTGATATTTCGTTTGTGTAGGATTCGAACTGAACTTTACATGGAAGAACAAGAAGAAATGGAAAGGGAAAAGGACGCTGTGCGTATTTTTAATTTTCTTTTTTTTAAATGGCTTTGGTGAAAGCAAACATTTGAGAATACTTAAGCTTTTCTTTCATTGGTCTATTTCGATCCACAACTGGGTATATATATTTCCTATCGTAGTGTTTTGATGTGTGTTCTGACGTTTTATACTCTGAAGAGTGTCAGACAAAAATTTGTACTTTATTCAAAGCAATTTTAACTTTTGTACCAAAAAGATATTGCTATCTTTTTTTTATTTTGCAATCATATTGATCTGTGGATATTTTCTCACTAATGGTATTTTGCTCTTAGCATCTCGAATTTCCAATTAAATGCCTTTTTTAACTTACTACCTAAGTAGCGAACGCCTCTCGATCTCTCTCTAGATACAACTTTATATAAAGTAATAGGCGATGTCCCCGTTTTGTTGGAATAATAACTTGTTCCTCTCCCACAGCTACAGATCCAGTTTTTTATCTCTGCATCTTCTTCTAAAGGCAAATGTCTTTTTTTCTAATGTGCTGTTTGACCCTTGTATTTGTCGTGCATATTTCGATCTATTGAGGCACTTTATTCACGCAATTTAACTCACTAAGGGTTTGGTTACTTCAAAAGGGGTCTTGCCTTATGTTGTTATTTGAAAATATTTTAAGTCGCCATTCTATAGCTGACTAAACATTTGTCTCTCTTAAATCGAATTAGGCCCTGTTGAGGCAACGCATCCAACAGCGATATGAACTACTTGAAATCAGCCGACAACAGCTTGAAATGAAACGAAGGAAGAGGGAGGCTGAGAAAGAAGAAGAGGAAGAGTTTAGAAGACAGGTAACTTCTGTTTTGAGTGATTTATACTCGTCACCGAGGCTGTTTTCTTTCATTAAAGTCCCTAGAAGCGAACAGTTCCGTGAGTATGTATAAAACTACATCGACTCTCTTGTGAAGGAGCTTCTTGGGCCTCTTTTCCACGTGACTTCTTATGTACGTCGGCTGTTGTGCCAGATGAAATTGAGACATTAACATAGGCACCGGGCCCCAAGGCAGTGTTGTAAAGCACATTATCCATGTTTTTAAAACTCTGAGTTCAAAGTAGGTACTTCAATGCTTGAATAATTTTCCACAAAGCTTGAAATCGATTTATGTACGAAATCGATTTAAGAGATTAAAATAGTTAAAGTTATCTTTTTAGGCAATTGATACAAAAGAGGAGTTGATTAAGTCAGAACAGAGAAAATGATGAAAACCGTAAAAGTCTAGATTTATTGTATCCACGCACCTTTGTCTGCAAGAGCCAGTAAATGGAGGTTTAGGCTGGCTGTCCTTAATTACCCTAAAACTACGAAGCTGGATTGTTCAAAATTTTTCATGAATTTTTTTCCCTGTAACCCAAAAAAATTTAGACAAGAGACAATATTTGCTGCAGAAGAAAACTTGACAACTATAGTTATTTTCTCTCTCGTAACATGATTACAACTATTTTAGCTTTTGAAGCTACGTAAGGTATTATGACGTATTTTTAATATATTCGATGATTCGCAATCACAATTTTTTATAAAAATAATGCTATAAGATTATTTAGGCACAGAACTATCCAATATTTAGAATACTTTAAGAATACTGCATAGTCTTGGCTTGAGTATTGTAAAAAACATTTTGTTGATGTTTAAGACATTATAATTATTAAGTCTTAAGTCTTGTCCTATTATTTTAATTGCTTAACTTTTTTTGCATCACTGTTTCCTATTGATGACATGAAATCTCTTTTTGCTCTGTTCTCCTGAAACCATATCAGATTCGAAAAAAGATTAAAATGTTTGGATAAATTTAGGCTCAAAACAGAAGTATCTTGGTCTGCCTTTTCGCACTCTCAAATTAGCGCACACTTTTACGTAGACGAATATTGAAATGATCTCAAACTACTGAATAAGGTCTAATTGTGTCTCATTACTTCAATTCACAGATGCTTGCCAAGTTTGCTGAAGACGACCGCATTGAGCAAATGAATGCGCAGCGGAGGAGGATGAAGCAACAGGAGCACAAGAGAGCTGTTGAACAACTGATTGAGGAACGAAGAAGACAACACGATATGGATAAGGTTAGTTTTTGCAATCCCCCGTGTTTCTTTATCATAGTTATATCATTACATTGTTGCATTTTGATAAAGACGGGTGTCCTACATATACGCTATTTGCAGCTTGGTTCATTAATCCATGTTTCTTACTGCATTTATAACGAAGAATATGACAGCTAATATTCTGTTTTTATTGTTAAGATGCATCTTATCCTTCAATCATTTCCTTCACATTTGACCATTTTCATGGCCACATTAACACCTTGCAATCATTTTTGGGGCCTTTGTGTCACAAGGATAAATTACAGTAATGATGTTGTGTGCAACCAGAGACATGTATCATATAAATGAAGTTTCTTTAACCTTCGACCTTATCTTGACCTTCAATCCTTCCTTTGACCTTTGGCCTTTTTATGATCACATTATCGCCATCCGCCAATAAAACCTTGCTGGCCCTTGTATCAAAAGGGATAAAATACAATGATGGTGAAGTCTACTACAAGAAACATGTCGTGCATTCAATGAAGATTCTTTGATCTTCGACCGTGTTTTGAACTTCAATCCTTCCCTTGATCTTTGATCTTTTTTATGACCACATAAACGCCATCCGCCAATAAAACCTTGCAGGCCCTTGTATCAAAAGGAATAAAGTACAATAAATATGAAGTCTGCAACAAGAAACGTGTCGTGCATTCAATGAAGAATCTTTAACCTTCGACCCTGTTTTGACCTTCAATCATTCCCTTGACCTTTGGCCTTTTTCATGACCACATAAACGCCATCCGCCAATAAAACCTTGCAGGCCCTTGTATCAAAAGGAATAAAGTACAATAAATATGAAGTCTGCAACAAGAAACGTGTCGTGCATTCAATGAAGAATCTTTAACCTTCGACCCTGTTTTGACCTTCAATCATTCCCTTGACCTTTGGCCTTTTTCATGACCACATAAACGCCATCCGCCAATAAAACCTTGCAGGCCCTTGTATCAAAAGGAATAAAGTACAATAAATATGAAGTCTGCAACAAGAAACGTGTCGTGCATTCAATGAAGAATCTTTAACCTTCGACCCTGTTTTGACCTTCAATCATTCCCTTGACCTTTGGCCTTTTTCATGACCACATAAACGCCATCCGCCAATAAAACCTTGCAGGCCCTTGTATCAAAAGGAATAAAGTACAATAAATATGAAGTCTGCAACAAGAAACGTGTCGTGCATTCAATGAAGAATCTTTAACCTTCGACCCTGTTTTGACCTTCAATCATTCCCTTGACCTTTGGCCTTTTTCATGACCACATAAACGCCATCCGCCAATAAAACCTTGCAGGCCCTTGTATCAAAAGGAATAAAGTACAATAAATATGAAGTCTGCAACAAGAAACGTGTCGTGCATTCAATGAAGAATCTTTAACCTTCGACCCTGTTTTGACCTTCAATCATTCCCTTGACCTTTGGCCTTTTTCATGACCACATAAACGCCATCCGCCAATAAAACCTTGCAGGCCCTTGTATCAAAAGGAATAAAGTACAATAAATATGAAGTCTGCAACAAGAAACGTGTCGTGCATTCAATGAAGAATCTTTAACCTTCGACCCTGTTTTGACCTTCAATCATTCCCTTGACCTTTGGCCTTTTTCATGACCACATAAACGCCATCCGCCAATAAAACCTTGCAGGCCCTTGTATCAAAAGGAATAAAGTACAATAAATATGAAGTCTGCAACAAGAAATGTGTCGTGCATTCAATGAAGAATCTTTAACCTTCGACCCTGTCTTGACCTTCAATCCTTCCCTTGACCTTTGGCCTTTTTTATGACCACATAAACGCCATCCGCCAATAAAACTTTGCAGGCCCTTGTATCAAAAGGGATAAAGTAGAGTAGGGATGAATTCTGTTACAAGAAACATGTCGCTCCATTCAATGAAGATTCTTTAACCTTCGACCCTATCTTGACCTTCAATCCTCCCCTCGACCTTTGACCTTTCTCACCACTTCATTATCAATTTTGGCATTAACAATAAAACCTTGTTCTTCCTTCTAGGAACGTGAGAGACAAGAGCAAGAAGAACTTGAGAGGCTTGAGTCCTACAAGAGGCAAATCATTGAGGAAGAAAGACAACGCCTATTGCAAGAGCATGCTGCAAAACTTCTCGGTTATTTGCCTAAGGTAAGACAACCTTTTTAATGTAACCAATCGTAATTTCAGGATTAAAGTGACTCTTCCGGTGGCAGCTCATGCAGACTGATATATTGTATGAGGATTCCTTTTATGATGATTCCTTTTATGAGGATTCCTTGTATAATAATTCCTTGTATGATGATTCCCCGTATAATGACTCCTTGTATGATGATTCCTTGTATGATGATTCCTCATATGAGGATTCCTTGTAATAGAATCCCTTGTATGGTGATTCCTTGTATGATGATTCCTCGTATGATGATTCCTTGATTGATGATTCGTTGTATGATAATTCATTGTATGACGATTCCTTTTTTGATGATTCCTTTTGAGAGGATTCTTCATATGATGTTTCCCCTTAGGGTGATTCCACGTAAGGACTTTCCTTGTTGGCATTATCATAGTTTTAAGTTGAAAATATTTTCTACTGTTTAATCATAAACTCCATCTGTTCAGTGATAAGCTCTCCCACAATTAATACTGTAGAATCAATACTATGTTGTTTTAGCTACCCTGTTTCCAAAATTCTAGGAACTGTTAATAAGTCGAAAAACCTCGAGTTGTATCACCCAATTATTTTGTTACTTACACTTCATTTAACTTTGTACCTATTTCTTTTCAGGGGGTCATACGAGATGAAGGTGATCTCGATTTGTTTGATGAAACTTTCCGTAGCACGTACCGGCCAAGTCGAAGAGACCCATTTGATGATGATGATGGCGCATATTAATGTGCGTGTGGACACCCTGTAGACATCGCATAGGTGTACCAATGTCATAGTTGAAACAGTATTGGGTCTAGCTATTTTAACAGCCAACTGTGTAAGGAATGTAACGGTTAATTCTATACAATTTTGTTATGTATATATGGTAATAATATTTTGTGGATTGTGACGTCATAAGTACGCGTGAAATCTGTGTTTGCTTTCTGCACGATACCCCTTGATACCCCACCCCCTATTTCGCTTGGCACGAGGTATGCACCGGGTATGCATTTCTTTGTATCTACAATCACTGCCAAAAGTCTTGGAACACTAACGTAGGTTTTCAAAGGCAAATTCAGCCATCCCCCTCTCCCCCTAGGAACAACGTTGATTTACTATAGAAAAAAAAGGGGTTATGGAGTACGCTTTTTCATGTGGATTGTTTGATATTTTTCTATACTTTCAACATTGTTTGGGGGGAAAGGGGGGCAGAAGTAGTAGCATTCAGGAAAACAAATGAAAAATAGAAAAACACAGCGGAAAGTGTTAGATGTTCCAAGTAATTTTGGCAGTGATTGTAGCTTTCAAATGTAGTTTTAGGACATTGAGAAGGCCTATAGATCAAAGCCCTTGTCTTTTTTCTCGTTGTGGTCTACGCCCTGAATTACAGAATAGTGGTGGCACTCTTTACTTTTAAGTGTGAGTTTGATTACGTCAGTGACCCGAATCTTAGAGTCTTGAATCTGTAGGGCCCTTCACTTATCCTTCAACGATAGAAAATATTTTCTTTGTCGAAGTATTGAACAAATTAGACTTGCTAAGCCCTAGCTGACTCAGTTCATATAACACAATTTTTTTACTATTGCATTCAAGATTTTATGAGAAAGGGGTAAAGGACCTGGTCGTAGCGTTGGTAACTACGGTAAAGAATTACCCTAGGGGAGTGTTTTTAAACCACTGTGCCGCGGCACAACAGTTGTGCTGTGAGATATTGTCTGTTGTGCCGTGGAAAATTCTCCAATATCACCTAATTGGTCTGAAAATTAAAAAAGTTGCGTCCATAGGTGTAGTCTTGGGGGCAACAAGGCTTTAGTCCCTCCTGACGATAATTTGGGGGCTCAGTCCCCCCTCTGGGAAATAGGGAAGATGACTATCAATTTGTTAGGCTAATTTTGCATATTGTTGGTTTCACGCATAAAAATCATCTCAAGAGATTTAATCAAGATCAAATAACAAAGGTAATAATGAAAAATTTAAAAGAAAAGCACCTTAGAACCCTCATCTAGGCCCATTTCTACCTTCTGCTATTGGCAGTCAGCAGCCTCCATTAGCAGTTGCAATTACTTTTGTACCCCCCCCCCCCCCTTCCCTGGACAAAATATAAGTCAGCGCTTATGGTCACGTCTTCCTTCCATTTCTGCTAGGATAGGTTTTGAACTCGGTTTACATCTTAACAGGTTAGTTTTGACATCGAGTGAGTACAAATATTTGATTCTATCAAAAAATACTTTCCTTTTTGTTTGTTTTCTTTCTATTCAAGACAATTCGATGATAGCAACAATATATTGTTAACATAGATACAGAGTTTGGTTTTTTTCTTAATTTTCTGTAAGCTGTGCGCCTCGCGACTTTTTCACGAAAAAGTGTGCTGTGGATAAAGGAGATTGAAAAACACTGCCCTATGGGGTAGGGAGGGGGCATTCAGTTTTTATACACACGAGCCAATCATCCAAGTGTTTTCATATTATCAAATTCGCATTTCTGAGCAAAAAAATTCAATGAATATACATTTTATCTTATGACTTAAAATAGTTTCACAGTATCATTTATTTTATGCTTAAAACTAAATTTATCTTTGGTATCAACGCTGGGATCTTCAACCCTTTGGGGTATATGTACATTGAGATAATCCCCTTTCTATGGCAATAATTCTATCAACCGGAAGTGAAGTTACCAAAAAGGTGATCAGGGTCCAGACCTCTTACAAGCACAACAGTCACAACATGGCAAAAACGACCATGAGAGAAGATTGTCGAGCACGAGGGAGAATTTGGCTACCAAGAGTTTTGCATTGTTTTATTTCCACAGCGAGCAAAAGGTTAGTTATTTGCATCTATTTTCTCGCACTTTACGTTGTCATTTCGCATATTCAAGAAGGAATTAGCTGTTTTTCCCCTTTTCAAGGGTAGAACCAACACGACTTGATGTTTCAAACGGCCCAAAATTGCATTTTATCCAGTCTACAATCTTAGTTTTTAGTTATGTTTTTTTAAAGCATTTCTTGAAGCAGTTTATTTTCTAATATTATCGCTTTTCTATTATTAAGACTAATCTACTAACTGCTAGTACGCAAGACCCATTATGGGGATAGTACTATAACATTTAGATTCGATTCGATTAGATTCATAATTTTGGTTATCATAACCAGGGAAGGAGGATTGTATTGTGAGTAAAGGAGATTTAAAGTTTGTTTTGCTCAACGTACCACGAGCGATAGGATTAAGTTCGGGGTTTAGAAATGTTTTTCGACTTATTTGGACCTATGCACTCTCCGTCCCCCCTCCCCCCTGCACCATCTCTGATTATAACTCATTGTCTATTCAATAAATTAACTTCCCTGTAATAAAAAGTTTTAACAATAGACGTTTTTAGATTTAGACAAATACATGGAATAAAATTACATTCAAGTCGATAAAGCTTTTAAATTCATGTTAATATTCAACAATTTTTGACAACATAGCTATAACTTCCCACAAAATCACAAAAACATAAAATTTGATTTGTTTTCTCGAATCAAGATGACAATATCCGTCACTTCAGGGGGTGGGTGAGGGTTTAAGCAAAGCATACCCTTTTTGAGCAACAGAATAATTGAAAATGATTTTCATAATATCAATGCAACTAATTTGATATATTTTCTACAATATTACTCGAGTTTCAATTTTTGATAACAAAACCTATTTCAAAAACACTTCTTGCTTCCCAGGTCTCATGTTTTTCCCCATTTAACATTTTTGCCCCCTCCAAATCAGATTATTCGCAGTTATTGAACAAAGCTCGACAATTGTAATATTCCTGTGCAGTCGAATTTCTTAACCGTAAAAGTCCGAAGAAGTTAAAGAGCAAAGCTCGTTAAAAACATGAATCTTAAGCGAAGTATCATTTTGATAATGCCCTCCCCCCTCCCACCTCTTTTGAACAGTCACTTTGAATATAAGGGGATAGGCCATGTTAAGGGGATACTGGCACACACCCTTTTTTAGAGAATTCATAGCTATCTGAATCGGAAAGGATTTTTTGAATAAGCTTTGATCTCATCAAACGCTAAAATACATTCTTTTTGTATAAGAACCAGTAAATTTAAGTTCAGGCTGACTGTTCTTAATTTTTTTTTAAAATCTGAGGCTGGATTGTTCTTTATTTGTTCTTAATCTAATAGGGTGTAAGCAGTGCTATTGCTAGCTTTTTCGCTCTAAGGAGGTGTTCAGGCCTCATTTGCCAACAAAGTGAGTGAGACAGCCTTAATTTGCTGACAAACCTCGATTTTGAAAAAAAACGTTGTTCAAAATTGCATTTTGCAGAAGCTCAGCCTCAGCTTGTTTTAAATTTGTTTATAACTTTTGACCAGTTTTGAGGCTCGTGTTCTTATAAAATTGTTCTTATAAAAAAAGATTGTAAATTGTATCTCAATGAATTGCAGTCAGGAAATATTACGATTAACCTCTCTCCTTGAATTTTAAGACGACATTGTAATAAAGTATTTAATTAAATGAACTCTGAACATTTTGTGTTAAACATTGCTTCATCTGAAGACCTTCCCATTTCTGGAATGCTTGAAACTGGTTTCCTTTGGTGATGCAGATTATCGATGCACATCGATTGCTAAGTCTTCATGAAATAGGCAAGTTCCTTTTCTCAAATTTATTCAGCGATCCAACTAGCTCATAAATTTTGCTCTAGTCAACTAGAGCAGTTGTGAAACCTGGCCTATTTGGGAAGGTAAGAGCACCGAAACTTCGTTTCGCAAAATTGGTAATTAATAATGTGACCTAACAAGTCATAATTCTTGGCTTCAAAAAAACTAGAACCATTGTGAAATCTTGTCTTATTTAGAAAGGGAGTACACAAATTTGCTTTTGCCAAATTAGAAGATCTGGCAACATCAGTTCGTCAGTGAAGGAAACGCAGTTTGAGAACGAAACCTAAACGTCATTAAAAATTTGACCTGGAGACATCGATTTTTAAATTCTACGATAAAAGTTGAGACAGACTGTCGCGAAATAGTAAAATTAACATTATGTGAGAACGGGATTCGTATTCTGGACAGTAGGACCCGGCCTATTTTCTAAATCTCTAAATTCACTTGTCACACAGGTGTCCGTTAAACATTGGTTTCTATTTACAAAATATCAGAGAAAAGTACCTCGTTCAAATCACAGCTGTTATTGGTTTTTGACATGTCTCAAATCGCATGTCTCAAAAAGTACAAATTCAGATTCAAGAGATCAAGTTGTTTTGCTCTCGCCATATAATTTTTACACGTTTTTTTGAAGGAACCTACAATCATTGTCAAAGTACTTGGAGCATCCAGCAGTTTGCGATGTGATTTTATATTTTTCAATTCTTTTCCCGAATACTTCAATTTCCGCACCCCTATGCCACAATAGAGGTCGCAGAAAAAAGCGCCTGGGATCCTTATCTCCTACGTTGTTTTGTAGTAAACCAACATTCTTTAAAATGGGGAAGGGACATGGCTGAATTCGATGGCCACCTACGTAAAAAATTTCAGAACAATGAAACTGGCTTCCAAATGTATGGAACACAACTGAAAATATCGATCGTTGATATTTAATCTGATGATTGCTGTTAACAAGGTCTTTATATAATATTTCACTGTTTTGAAAGAAAAAACTGTATTTCGTGAAAAAACCAACTGCACTCAGGGTTGGGTCAATTCCATGTAGAGATGATAGCCTGCAAAATGCGTTAAATATTCGCTTTTTATTCTGAAACCTTCCATGAATCGAAATTCCTTGTTGAATAAGAGGGGGATTTTAAGTTCCCGACTCTTACTTTTCAACTATCCCAAAAATTCATGTCAGCTCCGAATTCGTTGACAACGTGACTCAAATTTCGGATTAACCCCAGCCCTATCATCGTGCGTTTTTCTCGTAAAACGCACACGATACAGTGAAAAGTAACAATTCAAACTCTGCCTGCCCCCTTTCTGCCATATGCCCAAAGTGCCCCGCCGAACTGCTCACTGGCGCAATCAACCTCACCCTTGACAAATGCATTCAATACATGACAATCTTTCGACGGTCGTTTTATACTCTTGCAATCATGGTGAACATTTCACAGAAAATATTTGAGTTTAGTCAACTTTAACCCGTTGATCAATTCAATTTGATAGATGTCAGATTTTGGCTTACACTCTCTTTTTTATAAGAACACTAACATTTTCTTGTCTCAATATTTTTAAGAAATTTTGTTTTGAGCCTAAATTTAGATGAAAAGTATTCGAACAATTCTTTGTTACGAGACACAAATGAGAACAGAAATGAGACACAAATATGGGAGTCAAGGCTGAGTTATAATTTTGTAATATTCTTATATTTTCAATGATTCTAAGCCTGAATATTCTTATAAACAATATACTTATTAAAAAGGATGTAATCACTTTTATCCTGAGGAAGGCAGACAATTGCCAATTTCTCAGATCTTTTCAACTAAATATTTCAATAAAATTCAAAAATATTTTTGATGGTGTTAGAATAACTATTATGACTTGCTTATTCAAATTATCTCGTAAGAACTGAGCGATTTCTCTAGACAACTTCTTGCTGGTGTTTTTCCATCAACGTTGATCGAATGACAACATCATCTTAGATTGTTCAAACGTTTCCAAAAAAATAGTTTTTTGGATGAAAAAATCGCTTGCTATTTTCGACCTATTATCAAAACAGCAGATGAAACCGAAAAACTATTGAGCAACAATCAGGTTTTAGACTATGCATAAAAACATTAAGTTGGAATTTCAAAAATACACTAATTTTTTGCTCAATAGACTAAGACTTAGAATGATTGTAAACATTTAATATTTTCGATCCCAAAAAGCTCCTGCTGTAGATTTAGATGCAGTTATCAACACGTGACCATGAATCTTTCACGTTTCGGTGGAAGATATACTAAATTCATGGCGAACGAGAGCCACACATTGTGACGTCAGAATGTCACTAAACTGATTCGGCTTTTGTCGTTTTTTCTCGGAAAGGTGCAACTTTAAAGCCTTATAACTTCTAAACTAATTGGAATTTTGCAAAAACAACGAACAACTTTGCCATCATGTTTTTTGTCGTTTTTTCTCGGAAAGGTGCAACTTTGAAGCCTTATATCTTCTAAACTAATTGAAACTTTGCAAAAACAACGAACAACTTTGCCATCATGTTTTTTGTCGTTTTTTTTCGGAAAGGTGCAACTTTGAAGCCTTATAACTTCTAAACTAATTGAAACTTTGCAAAAACAACGAACAACTTTGCCATCATGTTTTTTGTCGTTTTTTCTCGGAAAGGTGCAACTTTGAAGCCTTATAACTTCTAAACTAATTGAAACTTTGCAAAAACAACGAACAACTTTGCCATCATGTTTTTTGTCGTTTTTTCTCGGAAAGGTGCAACTTTGAAGCCTTATAACTTCTAAACTAATTGAAACTTTGCAAAAACAACGAACAACTTTGCCATCATGTTTTTTGTCGTTTTTTCTCGGAAAGGTGCAACTTTGAAGCCTTATAACTTCTAAACTAATTGAAACTTTGCAAAAACAACGAACAACTTTGCCATCATGTTTTTTGTCGTTTTTTCTCGGAAAGGTGCAACTTTGAAGCCTTATAACTTCTAAACTAATTGAAACTTTGCAAAAACAACGAACAACTTTGCCATCATGTTTTTTGTCGTTTTTTCTCGGAAAGGTGCAACTTTGAAGCCTTATAACTTCTAAACTAATTGAAACTTTGCAAAAACAACGAACAACTTTGCCATCATGTTTTTTGTCGTTTTTTCTCGGAAAGGTGCAACTTTGAAGCCTTATAACTTCTAAACTAATTGAAACTTTGCAAAAACAACGAACAACTTTGCCATCATGTTTTTTGTCGTTTTTTCTCGGAAAGGTGCAACTTTGAAGCCTTATAACTTCTAAACTAATTGAAACTTTGCAAAAACAACGAACAACTTTGCCATCATGTTTTTTGTCGTTTTTTCTCGGAAAGGTGCAACTTTGAAGCCTTATAACTTCTAAACTAATTGAAACTTTGCAAAAACGACAACTCTGCCATAATACACGCACCAGATGCTAAATTTCTAGTCAATAAAAAAATATTTTGGCTGGAGAGGCCCTTTAACCACAGGCCTTTCTTAAAGCCTTGTCTGTTAGTTTCATCAAATATCAACTATAATAAATATTCTATTGTATTTCGTCATTTTTGTTCGTGGCTGAAGAATAAGTGGCTATTATAACTTTCTCATCATAACAATAAGTATTGGAAACATAGCTCAAATGATCAACACCTCGTAAGCATAGAAAATAGGCCCAGACTTTTTTAGAAAACGATGCTTAGGTTTTCTTCAAATTGCCACACCCTTTAACGTGAAACTAACAGTATAAATAATATATTTTTTTGATGCTTATAATTTAATTTCCCCATGTCAAAAGTCAGCTCATATGTCAGAAAACCAAAGTCAAAGGTCATATGTTGGTAGATTAAAGTCATAGATCAAAGGTCAGGAGTACATTTTCAGGGTTTCGACGTCACTATGTCAAATGCAAGGTCATATGTCAGAAAACCAGAGTCAAAAGTCACATATCGGCGGAATAAAGTCATAGATCAAAGACCAGAAGACCATTTGCAGAAGACCAAACCTTGAGATACCCCCTGCGCATAAAGTCATATCGGATGAAAAAGACATAAAATCAGAAAAACCTCTTCAATTCTATTTTCAAGTTGAAAATTCGATTGTTTAATTGAGTAATAAGAAAAGCCAAAGCAGATTTACATACACTATTACACTAGTTTCAGCAATAAATTACGATTTGGAAATATCTTCAATCGGATAATATTTGAATAAAAAGGAGAATATTAAAAATCCTAAGCAAATTAAATAAAAAGGATGCTCACGTGACCTTCATAAAATAAGAGCCTGGGATCTAGTAGCAAACTTTAGCAAAATACAAACAAATTTGTTTATCAGTGAAATGTTTCTTTAATGGGAGGAGTAGCTATTCTCCGGATATTCTTCTTAATTAAAGTAATCTATACTGGATTATGTGAGTTTTTTGAACAATTCTTTATTTGGCATCGATGACGTTCCAAGTTAGATCTTTTCATGGACATCTAAATCACGTAGTTTGAAATGCTTCACATGTTTGCAAAGAATTTCAAGAATGTCTGATACACGTGTACAGAATGTCTGATGATGATCGGTTGCAGTTTAATTGAATTGAATGTAACTAGCGAGCGATTGATATTTGTGCTGACCATATAAGGAAAACATGGTTATGTCACGTGAGCAACCATTAATGATTTTGACCAATATACAGCTTAAGCAGTAATCGAAAAAGTAATAGCTTTAAGGTAATGTTGGCACTAGAACAGGGGGGTGCATACACGAAATAGGGGGTGGGTAAATCGAAATATCAGATAACGTCGATGCACTCTTGAGACATATTATAAAAATGGAGGCAGAGTACAAGCAGAAAGGGAAGCTTAATAAAGCAATTGAATAAGACTTCTTGCTGAATAAACAAAATATTTTGTTTATCTTTTTTTGTTATTATATTTTTCATTAAGGAAACAGGCTGCAAAACTCTAGAAAAGAAAGCCAAGTAAGGCATGCCAACTTTGTTAAAAGTTTCAAATTTATGAAATCTATCCAGCTAATTTGTCTTAATTCAGAAAATAGTCCTAAGCTCCAGCTCTTAATCTTGTTCTGGCACCAACATTCTATCAGCTCATCTACGACACTAAAATTGACCTTCTACTGAATCTCAAATTATTAATAACAAACAAATAGTAACAAACAGGGTCGTGCTCCATTTAAAAATCAGATTGACAAATTTTCACATCTACTTTGAACAACATAAAGAACTAGAGTCTATTTTTTGGCTTATCAAAATCTAGATTAAGTTACACATTTTTTGGAAACTGGATTCGATTTGAGAAATGTGTTTTTCGATTTAGCTAAGCTATGTAATTTCATAGGCATTTGAGAATATAGATAGAAAATATTTGTAATTCATCTGTGGACCGGGTTATAAGTTGTCCTTTTTTAAACGTTTAAAATTTTGTTGGAAAATCGCACCAAAGTAAATACGGGAGGGAAACTGCCTCTACTCATATCATTTTAATTTCATTTTACTTTCACGTCACTACTTGTTCATTGGAAAGGTAGAACACAATTTTTAAAATTACGGAAGACCCTGAATTTTTGAGATTAGGTATTATAAGGTAAGGGAATTTTCAAGGTTAAGTAGGATTAATATAATCAAATTTCAAGATTTGACAAGATTAGCTTGTGAACTTCAAGATCAGGAATGATAAGGCAATGTTAGGTAAGATTAAGTAAGATTAGTTAAGATTAGTTAAGATAAGTGTCCTGGATGAGGTTGAGCAGGCTCGAAAAAGGCAGCTATGAAGTTTCAAGAAGGCTAGATTATAAGACTAAAGCAACTATAGATGAGGAGCAGCAGTTGAAAACTAAGCACCCATAGCTTGCAAAAACATATATAACAGAGCATGGTACAAACAGCACAGCACGCCTGCAAAATTGAGCGGGCTGAGAAACCCGAAATGTAAGCAATGCAGCCCTTCAGCAAAGAATTTCGTCGAATATACGCCGTACTGGGAAAAAATCTTTACAAACAAACTAAAAGGTAATCAGCACCCGTTTGTAGGAAAGAAGACATATTTAAACGATGTTAACCTCTACAGACGTCTGAATGCTGGCCAAAACATCGAATTAATCAAAATCTAACTATCTCAAATTAAAAGAAATTCATAATAAAATGTTACCTGCTTACACGTCCAATAAATTAGAGTCGATAAATTACATGTCACGTGACATATACATCGATAGAAAGCTCAGCTTTCAGTCATAATTTCTTTGCGGGGTGCCATTATCATCATACCCTGCGGAGGAGACGAAGGTGACATTATCATCATGCCCTGCGGATGAGATGAAGGTGTCATTATGATCATGCCCTGCGGAGGAGACGAACGTGTCATTTTCATTACGGCGAAAAGTTTTAAATTGGCAAAGGGGGAGTGGGGAGCAATGGCGTAGAATTTTAATGCAAGTTTTTATTATCATTTTTAACTTTAAATTACTTACATTGGATGAATTTTTGGTAAATTACAAGTTATAAATAGCCCACGAATGATCTTCATTTTTATGAAACTCTTTTTATGAATCACAAATCATGATTCAATCAATCACAAAAAGAAGATCTTATTCCTAAGGGCATTCACTACAAAAAAATCTTACCTCGCCTACCATTTTATTTTTAGCAAATTCTATTCTCATGCCTCCAGCTTCGGACGAGCGAAGAATATACCTGAAAAAAGAAAGCATCAAATTGTGAGTTATGTCACAAAGAACGTGTCGAAAGTTGTGTCCAAACAAGTTTCGAATGAATGTTTCGAAAGTGTTATGCGAAAGTGGGTTTCGAAAGTGAGTCGTCTTGAAAATTGGAATTCAATGGCTGGAGGTAAGTGCTTTAACTTTTCTAATGCATTCAAAGCAACAAACCGTGGGAGGGGGGGGGAGGGTTATAGGGAATCTAGGAGGAAACTATATGGGTGACTGCCTTTGATGATAGGAACTGTCTAGTTCATACTGGTCGACCTGATGACGTAATTAGTTTACCCTAAACCTAACCCTAAATCTAGCCCTTACCCTTACCTTAACCCTAACCCTTTACTTGAAATAATTAATCATGCTAATTTATGACTATTAATCATGCTTATTTATGAGTATCAGGTCGAGCAGTATGGAAACTAGACAATTCCTTGATAATAATATCTATAGCAGAAGTCTTCACTGAGAAAATTGTCTTATCATGAGATAATTTGATGATAAAGAGGCTACAAAATAATGGGTTGCAATTCGTCGTAGATTATATGTTTAGAATCACAGGGTCATCCGGACGGGTATCAACTCGATACGTTCCTCTAAACGCTGTTTTTCAGCGCTTACCCATCAGACAGCTCTGTCGCTTGTTTGCCATAAGTTGCAATATATTTGTTTGTCAACAAATATCAAGATGTTTTAATTTTGTATTTGTGCACTTACTTATTCAACATGCATAGCTAGTATACCAAAATAAGGCCTATAAAATCGACACGTCTCTCCGAAAGCCTTGCTTCCATTTATCCAGTTGCCTTAGTTTGCTTAGGCCGAAAATTCGTCGTTTAGCTACCATTGCCGAAATTGCGCCAAGGTTTTCGACAAAACTCTGAAAAAGCTGTGTGCTCCAGTCTACCAATTTAACAGTTCTCTGACTTCGCTTGCTCTAATGCTCTAATGACGCTGAAATTTTCACCTGGTTCTTTGACACTGAATTTCTGAATTCACTCATTTAAAACTTTTAGTTACGTTTGCCGAAATATCGCAAATATTTTGGATACGTCCTTCACAAAGCTACTTTCAAATGCCTAGTTAGCAGTGCTTGGGCTTCGTTTGTCGTAATTTCGCTGTAAATTCGAGCTGTTCCGTCCATCTCGAAATAACGCCGATAAACTATGAAGGTTTTTCTACAAGCTGTGATTCCACTTACCCATTTAGCAGTTCTTTGGCTTGATTTGCCGTAATTACGTCAATGAATTCGACAAAACATACTGGTGCGGTCTTTTTGTTACGAAGGACTTTCAAACGTCGAAACCCGGGCATTCTGAAAGAACGAGCAAATTGTCGTAACTATCTGTAAAAAAGTACACGATTAGTTTAGGATTTATACTAAGGTTTCGAGTACATTCAGGATCCAAGTACATCCCTCAGCTTTTTGTCCCAGATGGTTTTAAACATAACGGTTAGCTGGGTTGAATCCCTTCGAATCTCTTCTAAATCGGTAATTTGCACGTCCGGGTATTGAAGACCGGTTCAATAGGAAACGGATAATTGAAGAAGCGGTATACAGGAGTTTAATTAGGTTTTGAAGTAGAAGTCTAACATTTAAAAGGGTATATGCCTAGGTCTAAAGCATAACGATTTCAGTTAGCTGAGTATAAATTCTTCATTATCTGGTACTCGGTGAACGGTTGGCTGTGTTAAATCCGGTTGATTTGAATCTCTTTCAGCAACTTTCACGTCCGGGTAATCGAAGGCCGGGTTATCCACCAAGTACCGGATAATGAAGAAAGGAGTATGTTTTATCATACTAACCCGGCGAAAACAAGTTTCAGCTCCTCCTCCGTCGCCATCCTTCCTAGATTAGCTACAAACAGTGTGGTACACGGTGGGTTATCGTCTACGCGTTGTCCCATTTGCCCCATTGCGTTCGTTATGAAAGGATTCGGTGCATGCGGTGAGACGGGTGAATGCAAATGCTGCAAAATAACACATGGATGTAAATATGTCATCATAGCAAAATGGTATAACTTATTTGGATATCAACATAAATGATACTGTTAAGATTATGTTAGTCGATTAATGAAGGAATGTGGAAATTCGTTTGAGTTAATAAAATCTGTGCCATGGCTGTGTGCAAGGATGCAGTGCAAGTTTGAGTTGAGTAATTAACCTTTGACCTTTAACCTTTAGCATTTGGGATCAAAGCCCAAAATCATATCACTCAATTTGATCAAATTTGTGCCATGTAAAATATTTAGGATTTTAATGAAATAAAATTAGTTGAGTTGTTTGAGGAAGTTAAGTTAAAGAAAAATGCAAGTGCGTCATAGAATTATTTACATTTCCTTGGTTAAAAGTGTTATTTCATGTTTATGGTGGAAAGTCTTGTCCAGGTAAGAATGTTTTCAAAACCGTGTAAAAGCCTTTATAAACAGTGTAAATTATAAGTAATATTTGAAGTCATATTGCAATTTTTCTCTGAAACAAAGATTTTTCTATTGCTGGTCAATTTCTGAAGATAACCCTTTTTCCATATGCGATTAAGAGGATATAGAATAGCTACATTTAGAACTCTTTAAACAATAGAGCACTTGCGTCACGAGGCAAGGATCCCATTGAGATAATTGTCAACGTGCATTCCAATCTGAAACGATCCGCGGATCGAACGGAACTGATAAGAACAATACGGTCTGATCCGGTCCGCGGATCGTTTTCCAGAGTGGGTTTTCGGCTTTAGAAAGATAGTGACCTATGACCTTGGAAGTGACCTATGACCTTTGAAGGTCAAGACCTCTATGACGTAGGCTACTAATGTAACAGTTACCAACACAACTAACAATGCATAACTAGATAGATAATGTCCAATAATTTTTTTGTGGACAAAAACAAGCGTAAATTGATGCAATGCATCGATGCGATTTTTATAACAGTGAAAGCGGTGGATGAAGGATTGCGCATGCGTGTGAAGAAGCCTAGGTGCGCCTATTTTGATACAGTGCACAGTGCTGTTGTGCACAACGATCGAAAACGTGACTTACTGGATGAGGCAAGGCAAGGCCTAATGTTGGTAAACGTTCCAGGGGTGATCCATTGGCCTATTCAATCAAAAAATTCAATTTTTCATAGCTTGTACGAAGAGATCGGATGACCATGTATGTTGTAGAAGTAGAAATGGCAAAGGAATAAAAAATAGGGGTCTGGGACTGCCACTTTAGGAACTGCCACAGCATTTTGTGATGAGACGTATTTCATGTTGCCTACTTGCTTCCTTTATGTAATTTGCTACGACGCCAAAAATAGATTCCGGACTGTATGAATAGATTCCGGTCCGTTTGAAGATACTCTGGACTGTTTAAAAAGCGTCTAGTCTGTTTGAATATATCCTGAACTATATAAATAGATTCCAGTCTGTTGGAATAGATCCCGAGCTATGCGAATAGATTCTGGATTGGTTGACTAGATTCTGGGTCATTTTTGAAAAGATTCTGGACTTTTTGAAGAGATTCCGGACTGTTTGAATAGATTCCAGGCTGTTTAAAGAGCGTCTGGTCTGTTTGAATATATTCTGGACTACATGGATAGATTCCAGTCTGTTGGAATAGAGCCCGAGCTATGCGAATAGATTCTGGGTCATTTTTGAAAAGATTCCGGTCTGTTGGAATAGATTCTGGATCGTTTGAATGTTTAAATAGCGTTCCGATCGTTTAGACAGGCCCTGAATTGAAGTGATTCGACTAACATAAAGGGAGTACATCAGGGCTTGAATGATTCGAACATAGCGGAGATCATCTGCCAGAAGTTTGAGTTAGTGAAACGGAAACTGTACAGTAACGTCTTTCTTGGAGTCACCATCAGAAACAAGATTGTTTCCGCTTAAGGCGTGTGTAAGTAAAAGTCAACGGTTGGACTCAGTGTCTTCTGAAAATCGTGTTAAACTCATCCACTAACAATGATAGCGACTTTGGAGTGGAAAGATGTTATGACTTTGCGCATGACCGTTTTGTTTTTATTACCCACAATGGGTAGGGAAGTAGACCGAGAAGAGGCCGGATAAATCCTTGTGAAGATGGCATCCGCATTTGGGATTAACAAAACGTGAAAGTTAAGGTTAATTTATCGCAGTTCTTGGAAAGTAGATTTCAAAATGAAATATTTGTTAGGGCTTCTTCGCTTTAAGGTTAAATGGTTGATAAAGTTAATATGCATATTATAAAGGTGGGAACACAATCGACATTGTCTCTAATTTATCGTTTAGGAATTTAACATGTATCATGGCAATTTTAGCAAAATTTGAAATTGACGCTTTTAAAACTTCAGATAATGTTTAAATCCGTTCAACTAAAAATTTACACGACAAAACAGGCTAATTTGATAGATAGAATGTTAAGGAACATTCCAATCTAGAACTTGTTCAAAATGATGATTAGAGCGTTACTTAAATTATATAAATATTGAATCATAGCAATGCCGTGGCAATCCGATTCTAAGGTCGGAGGGGGAGGACAAAAATCTTAATTTTCTGAAAGATTCATGAGAGAAATAAAGCGTATTATAAAATTATTATAGCTTTCAAGCAGAGCTTGAAATTCTAATTAAATAATTGTTAAGGCTTTCAAAATTGAAGCAGAGCTTTCTATAGATTAAATTAAATCGTTTAAATGTTTATCTATTATCAACAGCATTATATGTATAATATTTCAAACATTTTAAACATTTAAAGCATCTAAAACATTTACCATGAAAGCTTGAGGAGGCGGAAACTCAAACTAAAAAGAAATCACAAGTTTAGTACTAATTTATGTCTAAAAGTGTTAAATAATTAAATTTGATGCATAATTTATGAATAATTTATATTTATGCATTTGTTTATGTTTGACAAATAGATACCAGAAAAATGCTGGTTATTTTAATTATAAGATTTAGATATAAGACATTGCTAGTTTATTGGCTTATCATAAAGGGCAAAATACTTTCAATTTTATTCACTTTTGTAAAGTGATTTTGATAATGACAAGGGATGAATATATCTGATAATTTGCGCTGACTCATTTTAGCAATATCGTTGGTTCTTCCCTCGTGTTTATTCTCAAGCTTCAATTTGATTGGCTTAAAGATCAAAGTTGATTGTTCTAAGGGCTATTTCAAACCTGTACGGTACAAGCAGCACGTATTTAGCTACTGACCAATCAACACAAGCAAATTAACAATTGGAGCACGGAGCACAAATCGTAGCTTCGATACTTCAGTCGGGTCCAATCACCTCTGAGTAGTGTTGATTAAATCAACGAGAAGCGAAATATTTTCTGGTGGCATAAACTTCCATCCTGCATGGTATAAATCTAAATGACATGGTGATCATTTGCATTTAGCGCCCAACGAAACTCAAAACGCTGCAATTTTTGGCTAATTTATGATAGTATAATAAACATCATCAGGTACCATCTTCTATCAGAAGCTTGGCTACCATAACCCTCAAACTATCCTAAAATCTGAGTTTTGGTTTGTTGTCATGGTCATAGATAAAACTAAGGGGCTAAAAGTAGAGATGGGCCCCCCGAACCACATCTACAGTATAATAATAATTTATATTATATAAATATCATCATGCTTCTTTGAATGATATCAAGAGTGGATTACTTAGTATCATGTAGAGTGTCATTGAGAAATTATGCGTTTTATAAATATTAATATCTCAGTATGCGTTTACTAATACAATGGAATATTAGAACACTTACCGTCGTTAATCCTTGTGGTGCGAATGGAAGGTGATGTGTTGTTGGATTCCCATTTACATCGATTGAAAAAATATGACTGAAATAAAACATATTCAATGTTTTTAATTCAAAATTTTGTTTTATGCAGTTGACATCGTTATGTAAATGTTAAAGGGCCTAATGTCTAATTGATATCTAATACAATGATTTATGGTTAATATGCAACAATACATTACATTATATTACATTATATTACTTAATATTACTTAATATTACTTAATATTACAGTACAGTACAGTACAGTACAGTACGGTACAGTACGGTACGGTACGGTACGGTACGGTACGGTACGGTACGGTACGGTACGGTACGGTACGGTACGGTACGGTACGGTACGGTACGGTACGGTACGGTACGGTACGGTACGGTACGGTACGGTACGGTACAGTACAGTACGGTACAGTACAGTACAGTACGGTACAGTAAAATACAATACAGTAAAATGCAAAACAATACAATTCATATATTTGATAACTTACGTTGGTTGGTGACCCCATGGAGATTCCGGTGTTTGAAAGATCGAAGCATTAATGGCGTTCACTTCATCTGCAAAAAAATTGAAGAATATGAGAGACTATAAACCTTCCACGGAGGTGAAGGGAGACCTAGGTAGGGCAAGGCAATTATGGAAATGGGGTTATGACGTTCTTGAAAGAATCTCTATTGATTATACTCACAAGGTTCTCTGTATGGCATGGTAGGCGAGGGAATACAAGGTCCGACCAATTTGCCGAACACAAGAGGCTTTAAAGCGACCGGCTTGGCTACTTTGGTGTTGGCTTTCGCGAATTCTATCCGCAGGGTCGTCGGTAGCTCTGGATCGAACCTTACCCCCTGAAATGTAGAACGTTGTCAAATATTACATTAATCAAAGTGATAAGGTAGAAATTTATCTACAAACAAGACAATGTATAAGACTTCAATGAGTGTTCCAAATAGGTCCGGTGATTCCCGAATTCCCACTACGATTTTAGCCTGACCCCTGATTGCCGAATCCCGCTTAGAAACATTTACTAATTCCCGATTTCGGAGAAGCATGTGAGAAGCCCTCTTCAACTCGCGTGTTTTGGATCGTTATGTTAACGAATTCAGGACAATGTCAAGCTCCTTTCCACCCTCGATGCTTATATGCGCTATGGTCCAAAAAAGCAAAAATTCTGAAAATTGATGTTTATGTCGTCATTACTTAACAAATATGTGATTATGACGTCATCACTGAACAAGTAAGTGTTTATGACGTCATTACTGAACAAGTAAGTGTTTATGACGTCATTACTCAAAAACAGATGTTTATGTTGTCATTACTTAACAAATAGGCCTTTATGACGTCATTTCACAACAAATATATGTTTATGACGTCATTACTGAACAAATAAGTGTTTATGACGTCATTACTCAAAAACAGATGTTTATGTTGTCATTACTTAACAAATAGGCCTTTATGACGTCATTATGACGAATGGATGTTTATGACGTCATTACTGAACAAATAAGTGTTTATGACGTCATTACTCAACGAATAGATGACTTCAAGTCTGTTTACGCAGAGTAGCAGTAAAAATATAGCTTAATTTGAATGACAGATGCCATTGGAAATCTGTCAATTGCCTTGAAGAAACGCATAATCAAATCTCTTTGATGTCAAAATACCCGACATGCGCATGTTAAATATGAAATTTTTATAAGATAGCAATTAAATTTGCTTTTTGCGGCAATGAGGAAACCTTTAGAAAAGATAGCCGAAATATTTTTTAAAAGAGACTTCATTATTTGTTTGTATGAAAACATTTTAAAACAGTTTCCTTTAAAAGTTGTCGATCAATGAAACTCAAAAAGTGTATATACGTAAGGAGTACGCTTTTCCAAGGGTATTCTTGACCAAGACAGGTGGCTTTTATTAAATCTAACAGAGCACGCAATGTTCGTTTATTGTGTTTTTAATTTGAAGAAGCGAGTTTCAGCTGCTAAAGGGATGTTGTGTGGAGAAGCTACATTATTTTGGAAATTCGCGTATAAACATCAGAATCAAGTAGCCAAACCAACAATCCTTGTCAAAATTGTTGGAACACTTGCACAAAGATGAAGCTTTTTTGAAACCCCCCCCCCCCCTAAAAAAACTTCAGTAGCGTAAGCAAAACACTTCTATTTTGTAAAATATAGCTGCTGTTATACATTTTTATCAGGGTTGCCCCTCCCGAAACAAAAACTGTATCTCTGTCTTTTAGCCAAACCGATAAATGCAAACAAAAACTTGCGATTTGATTGAAATCTTCTTGATTGATAGATGTTGGTTGACCAATCAGATACAAGGCCGTTGAACATACTACATATTGGGGGGCCAAACGTTATTTTTTGGAGAGGGAGGTGTTAAACATTCTAAAAGCCAAGTGCAAAACTTTGTGCATGATTTTAAGTAGATTTTAGAAATTTTTGGGGGGAAGCTAAAGCCCCCTTAGCCACCGATACCGCGGTCTTTGATAAGATACAATACCAGATCTGATAAGAGAAGACAGCTCTCCACAATAAATATCTTCTTACCGCGGTAAAATTTTTCTTCAATAAACACGTCCCCAAATGGGCAACATATAAAACGGACATCTCCCCATAGCAGACACCTGACTGCAACATGAACTGGACAAAAACTCAAAATTTTTCACACTACATAGGGTTTAAATGCTTCTCTTAAAGGCATTGAGTCATGAAAAAATGACTTGGGTATACCCAAAGTGCCAAAATCCGCTGAGTCACGATTTTCATAACTGCGATGCTATTGGTTGACCTTAAACTAGTCACATGAACTCTTCTCGTACTGATTAACAAAACAGTTTCCATCAAAAGTAAGTTGTCAACAACGGATGCCACCGAAACCAAAGGAAGGCCTATTTACCATGACTCAATGCCTTTAAAGCTTTCTTACTTACATGGAGTGCGCTCTTTGCCGTCTCTCCTTGAACCCTTGAGCCAAACGTCACGAAAGCAACTGGCTAAAATGTGAAAATATGAACCTTGATTAGGGTCCATTGAATGGAAAAGATTTCCTAAACAATCTGAACTGGAAATTGCCAATGTGATGACATCATAAACCTATTTTTAGAATTCCAAGTTTTTACCACACAACCTTAAAAAGTATTTATCAAATACCCCTTAATATGCAAAAACAGCTAAATGCCCTATAAAGTTGCTGAGAAATGACCAAGTGAGAACAGGCCAATCAAATCACGGTAATTTGATGTCGATTGAAAACATAAGGCTATGCAAAAAGGTAAGTACCCATTCAGTTAAATTCTAGCAACAGAATTTGCATATCTAGAAGTATTTCACTGTGTTTTTCTGATTATATGGTCTAGGTCAAACATTTTCCCAACAAAGTTTTAAGACAACATCATTTTGCCAATCTGAGAAAACCTAATAACATTTATAATACAGATGAATTTGATCGCAGTAAAACTTTTTTGAATATGTTTATTGGGTATTAACGACTTTATTACTTGAAAACTGAATAACCAAAAATTGTCTTTTATTGATAATTAAGTGATTTAATATTCCAAGTTGAGAATTATTCTTAGCGTTATTATATGGTCTAGGTCAAACATTCTACCATTAGAGTTTTAAGACAACATCATTTTGTCAATATGAGAATACCGAATAGCATTTTCAATACAGATAAATTTAATCGAAGCAAAACTTTTTTATATGTGTTTATTTGGTATTAAGGTCTCTATTGCCTGAAAATTTTATAACCAAAAAACTCTTTATTAATGGCAATATTTTTTAATAACTTCAGGATTATTCTCAGCTTCCAAGCAAAAACGTAGCTCGTAAACACCGAAGTAGAAATATCAGATTCGCATAACAATGAAAATGGCGACAATAGAGTACCGAAATGTGACATCATCAAAAATATATTTTTAAAATTTCTTAAATTTGACCATATGATCTGAAAGAACGGCAAAAAAACCTCGCAATATGCAAAATTAGCTAGATAGATATGTTCCAAATTGGGCGAGATATGGCCAATGAAAGATTTCAAGTTTGCTAACGGATTAATGTTATTCTGGCCTGGTTCACAAAGTTATGACCAGAGACCAAAATACAGAGGTTGGACGTGGCAAGAGCCTGTGCTCAAGTGGCCATATCTCAGCCAATTCGTAATACCTTTAACTGATTTTGTAGATTTAGAGGTATTTCATGATGCTCTTTCAAGGAATAGAATTTGAAAATTTCTTAAATAGATTTTTGTGACGGTACTCTATCACTTACCGAGGTCTTTTTTCCCTGTAGCAAAAAAGAGAAATTAAATTTAAGTATTTTAAACATTTTATTTATAAAAACTAGGTTTTGAGATTCATGCAAAGACCTGCTTGTTTATAGTCAAACAAAGATCTAGGAAGTATTTCAAAAGTAAGGGGGACACATGTTAGCAGAAATGAAGCTCATTATAAGCCGAAAAAAAGCAAAATACTCCTGCTTCTGAAAATGGAGGTGTTCCTTCGTCTGTGTTTTCAAACCTACTGCTGCCTAAGCACTTCATCCATACCTTTTGAAGATATAGCCCTAATAATCTACATCTTCCACCTCAAGCCCCCCAAGGAAAGAACTAATGCCCCCAAATGTTGAAGGATATATCTAAATAACTGCAAACAGCAACTAAGTACCGTGAAACAGTGGTGAAGGTAGGGCTTCAAAGGTATTCTCTCTCTCTCTCTCTCTTTCTCTCTCTCTCTCTCTCTCTCTCTCTCTCTCCCTCTGTCTCTCTGTCTCTCTGTCTCTCTCTCTCTTTCCCTCTGTCTCTCTGTCTCTCTGTCTCTCTGTCTCTCTGTCTCTCTGTCTCTCTGTCTCAATTTACCAATGAATCACAAGTCAAGCCACTTTGTATTCGGCTTTAGCCCCTGGGGCTTTGCTTCCAGGCTATGCTATAGGATCCTCACTACCTCTTCTCCCATCCAATCCTCGAATTCCTTGAATAAAACACCAAATTGCTTGCTCTAGCAATCACTGACCTCTTACTTGATAGTCCTGTCCACGCCCCTGTGGTTTTTACGCACGCTTGTGAATTCCATCATAATGTTTGGAGCGCAAAAATTGAATTTAATCAATAAAAAGAACCAATTCGTTACCTCTTTTCCTGTAATCTTTAATAACGAGCCTTGATACCCCTACAAAGCAAATCAAAGAATTAGAGACACAAAATTTGATCTAAAATCTAAAAATTTTAATCATGTTGTTACAAGTGTTATCTTTAAACCAACAAAAATCCTGAAAATTAACGAATTTGCCTACAAGGCCTAGTGCATGCTTAGCTTCGATACATATCATGCCATCTGCAAAGGAGACGGCTGGAAAACGAGAAACCTGGTGATGAGTGAAGTGGTATATGACGTCACGAAACCTTCAAAGCATAATAGGCGATTCAAGTTATAATACTATCTCCCCTAATTGGATCAGGAAGGAGGCAATGGCACAGAATAGGAAATAGGCAGAAGGGTAACTCTCGTCGGTTCCTTTGTTGTTTTTGAAGCCTGAGTCAACAATAGAATTCCTTAATTCCCCTTTAACCTCGATTTCATTGAACGAACTTAGCCATGACAAATTATCATTCATTAATCAGATATAAACGAATTATGATACATAATTGAATTTGTTCACTATCATGGGGCATTTCGTCTCAAATAAAGTTGTCGACTTTCATTCTTTTTCAAAATTTCCCCGACAGATACATGCTAAGCCTCGTATAAGTTAGCGCATGCGCAAGTTTTTTCAGGCTTCACCTGATAGGCAGGAGTTCCCCTTCTGCCTAATTCCTATTCTGTGGCATTGGCCTCGTCCTGTTTTTCAGAAATGTAATCTTTGTGCGTGGTATTTGGATGGATCTGAAGTGATTTCCAACATTTTCATATCCTAAAAAGATGTTGTCTTGAAAAATACGCTGTAAAGGAAGGTTTAAGCACACCTTTAAGCATAAAATTAAGGGCCCCCAAGCATTTGGGCCTAGAAGGGGGCCCTCAAGAGGTTTCTCGAAAAATGGGTTTCTTGATGAAAGCATCATCGCATCATCGCATTCTTAATGGCATCATCGCATTCAAATCATCATTTAATTGGGAAAAAACTTAATATAGTTAGTGAGCAACTGCAAATAATGATGCAAGATATAGAATGATAAAATTTTGTATTTGATTTACGATAATATAACAAATATTAAATTTCTAATTTATCTTCCATTTAATCTTTCTGAACACGTTTTCAAATGCACTTTTAAAACGCATCTGAATACGATGTATTGAAATCCAGGAAAAGCTTAGATGAAGATCATAGAAAATATCTCAAGCAGCAGAATTTCTCTTCTTATGTTTTTGTATGTTATTTCTGCGGGTTTTACAGCAAAACCCCAAAGGGTCAGTACTTAGGCTCTATAGAGAGCCGAAGTGATGACGTCACGAAACTCTATTTTAAGAATTTTGCAATTTTTGACTATATATCCCAAAAGAGCATTATGAAATAACTCTAAATGTGCAAAATCAATTAAAGGTATTACGAATTGGCTGAGATATGGCCACTTGAGCACAGGCTCTTGCTCCATCAAACCTCTGTAATTTGGTCTTGGTTCATAACTTTATGAACCAGGCCACAATAACAGTACTCCGTTAGCAAACTTGAAATCTTTCATTGGCCGTATCTCGCCCAATTTGGAACATATCTAACTAATTTTGCACATTTAGTGGTATTTTGTTTCATTCTTTTAGATTATGGGGTCAAAATTCAGAAAATCTAAAAATAGATTTCTGAAGACGTCACACTTCGGTACTCCATAATCTAACTCAAATTTAGTATAAGGGCCGCAAAACACTACTTCAAAAATGGCCCCACACTACTCCGTTACACCACTGCTTTTCACAAACCTTAGAATCCCGTATCGCAAAAATAATTTTTATCACAGAGAGACGTTTGATAACAAACAAAAACAATTGCCTATCACCATTCCTTCCCACGACCTCTCTTTGAATTAATCTGACCCCGCAGCCTCACGTATCCAATAGCAACAATTCCTGTTATGAAAACAGGCCGGCGAAGGGCCACCAAGAAACAAAAACGATTTTCTTGTTTGTAAAAATACAACAGACTTAACGACATGGAAAATGTCGGGTTGAAATTAAATAGATAATATTGTGCGTCCTTTTGTTTGTTGAAAGAAACAAATTAAAAGGGATTAATTGAGAAACATAATAAATTATGCAGAGGTTTAAATCAAAGTTGTTAGTCGTGAAGAAAATGGGAGTATTTAAGAAACGCCTATAACATAGGGAAGGATATGCGATAGAAATAGAATGTGTAAACAAAATTTTCAAAAGCAATGATTGTCTTCGAAGTTGAAAACGTTGTAAGGAGTTTCCTGGACTGAAAGGAGATTCAAAGCTGGATCCAAGCGAGGATGGTTAGTACTGACGTGAAAAGGTCAAAATGAAAGATGGAGGCCGTAGAATGAGCCTACATCTACTGATCTACAAAAAGACTGGATCGAGCTTCTAGTGTCATGTCGTCATACGAGAAGAGAGCCCCAGAACAGCCTATGCGAGCAGCCGGCGTTATCTATCACCCCTAGCAACGTTTTCAGCTAGCTGCTCTGGCCTTGTTCTTTTTCAGCACTCATACACACAGCATTGCAGCTCTCGCGTCTCCATATCGTTGAAGTATTGGTTTTGAGAAATGGCTTCCCGCTATACACCAATTCGACTTACGGCCCTCATTTTGAAAAATTCTTCAAATTCTTTTGTACAAAATTTTTAATTTTCAATTTTGTACAAGATTCGGATTGAGAGCAATGATTTTAATCTACTTGGAAGTTTTCATTATGGTATTGCTCACGAAATTGATTTTATAACGACATAAAGATGAAAACTTTATAAGGGATTTGACCGTGATTGACAACTAGGGGGGTAAAGTTAAATCCATTAGAAGTTTTCAAACTTCATTTCTCCATAAAAAATCGAAAATATAAACTCAAACAATATGAAAATTGTATTCGGCCTAAAATTATGGTGATAAAACCAAATTTGAGCTTAAAAAAGTCGTATAATTAGGTTTGGAGAAATATCTAAAACGAGATTGTAAGTCGAATTAGTGTATTGTTGGGGTGGGGGCTCTCTTTTATTTGAAATTGAACTGGCTTCAAACTTTGACGTTTCAAGACAATAGGAAGCTCGATCCAGTCTTTTTTTATGAATCAGTGCCTGCATCATTCTCAGCTTGATTGAATCTTTTAGTATTTGGTTGTAAATACCTTTCGTGTGACGTCATAGCAATATAATTTTGGAATGTTTGAATTTAGATTACATAAAGAAAGTGGTGTTTGAGGAACGTTTTCTAAAACAGCGCCATAAAATACTCGTAAATGCAAAGAGGTATTCTCTAATGAATTTTTATCCAGTCAATTAGCAAAAATTGAAAAATTATAAAGCTTTTTTGACCTTTTCTCGCAAAAGCCCAAATTCCCTAATCAATGTTTTATTGTTTAAAAACCAGGCTCTTAATTGAGGCAGGTAGAAAGACGGAATACTTAGGCCATTTTGTGCACTGAGCCTAAACAGCAATGAGCTGGGCACGGCTCCCTGCTGGCCACACGGCTCCCTGCTGACCATTTCACCATTTCGATAAAATGTGTTTATCTCTAGATAATAGGGAGTGAAGGTATGTCCCATTAATGAATTATCAAAGATTGGCATGATAAGGATAAAATATTAATGATGGATTTTAACGCACAGTGGAAACAAACGGGTTATAGCTGTTGCTTGCAGTTTGAGATGAAGGCAGGGGGCTTGAGGTATAAAGCTGTATCCACGGCATGAAAATACAGATAAGGGTCTGTATTATCACCATCATAAGCATCAATAGTATGAACAATACTAAGATAAATATTATTATCAATATTATTATCAATATTTTCATCAATATTTTCAATCTTTCTAGCAGTTCACTTGATATTTTAGGTAACTCCTGCAGCATTTTCATCGATATGTATGACTTATACAGTGTGTCAACGCTTTTATTATGGTATCATTTGATAATACTGATGATTCAGTTTATAATGGAAGTTATGATTTCAAAATGGCTTTGGAAAAGCAAGCATTTTGTCGAGTCAGGCTAAATCTTTTCATCTGACACTCTTCAGAGTATAAAACGTCAGAACATAGATCGAAAACTATACGCTAAGAAACATATATACCCAGTTGTGGATTGAAATAGGCAAATCAGAAACGCGAGCACATGACTGTAAAGGTTGACCAATCAGTGCCGCTTGCCTATTGAGAATGTTACCAATGGAGTCATAAGATGAAAACAAACTACTTCTGTCTACACAATAGCAATTTTCTCGTGCGGCAGTGATTTGGATTTATGTAGATAGATTCCAAAACTGCAATACTAATCATAACGAGCCTCAAAATTGGTCAAAAGTTAAAAACACATGAAGAACAAGCTAGGGCTGAGCTATCGATAAATGTAATTTTAAGCAACATTTCTTCTCAATAACGAGGATATTTTGCCATATGTGGGTGCTTTTTTGGTGAATTTTCAAATATGTAGGCAAATAAAGGTTGTTCCAGCCACTTTGTTGGCAAATGAGGCCTGAACACCTCCCTAGAGCGAAAAGCTAGCAATTGCACTGCTTACACCTTAGTGATAAAGAACAAATTAAAAACAATCCAGCCTCAGATTTTCAAAAAAATTAAGAGTAGCCTAAACTTTAATTTACTTGTTCTTATAAAAAAGAGTGTAGTTAAAGAGCGTGGTTAGCGAAGATTTCTTAAGAGTCCCGCCTAAAAATCACCTATTTTCATCAAAATGGGCATTGATAAATTTTCCTGTAATTCCAAACAACATAAACGATATTTTTTATCATAATTATCATCTGTCCATCCATAATTACAGACCCTCGTATGACGTTGCTAAGGACATATCAGCTGGTGACATTTTACATCGCTGAAAGTGGATTTGCAGACTCAACCATTATGAAGAGAGTACAAACCATCAGCTTAACAATTTCGGTGGCAAAAAACCATAAACGCTTGGATATTTAATCCATTTACGTCAACCACTCAAGCTTCATTTGCCAATGAAATGAAATCCTATTACGAAATTCGATCGATTTATCGAAATTCTATCG